AAAAACGCAGACGACGTTCTAACCAAACGTCTTTTTCCTTAGCGCTTAAGCGCAAGTCGGAAAGACTTGAGTGCTCACACGCTCGTCAACCCAACGGGTGAACTAGTGATCATCTTTTGGAGATGCTTCACCTGGTGCAAGCACCGCTGGTATGCCGTTTAGTGAGTGCACAGGCACCCCACGTGACTGTCGTGACAGTTGCTTCTGATACGATTCATCGTAAACTCCTGGGGAGTAAGGAGTCGCTCACGAAGAGCTACACTATCTGCATTCTTGAAGGCCCTACGCGCATGGAATTCAATGACATAAGTTCGCAAAGATTGCGATGCAGCTCGTTGAGATTTCTCCTTAGGGTTCAGGGACACGAACCCATAATCACGTCATGAAAATGTTTGTTTGGGCCGTGCCAAAGCGGCCGCCCAGGCCTCGTCATCGAGTTGACGACGCTGTGCAGCGTCAAGAGGGTTGGTTACCTCTTCGTCAGTACCCTCTCGCGAGGGAAGCAGTGGCGCTTGGTACAATGCAGTTGTTTTCCTAAAGGTAGTAGACACCGAATCAGCGTACCTCTGTCGGTGAGCCTGGTGATCGTGTGGTTCTGTGACCCAACGGAGACTCGGCGCCGTTGCCCCTCGAAGCAACGTCACTGTCATCGTCCATAAAAATGCCTCGGCGCATTGCAGTATCCATGATGCAGCACGCGCAATAAAGACAAGTACTTTAAAGGCAAGTGTTGTTATTACTGTAACGCTTCAAAGCAAGTTCTAGGCACATAATGCTGTATGATCAAGTGTTCGTAAACACAAAAGGGTATTAATACCAAAGTGCTTGGCACTGTATGCTCAAAGAGCAAGTTTCGTAACACTACAATGCTTAGAAAGCGTGAGTGCAAAGCACAGGTTCTAGAGGAGCAAGTGTTAGAACTCTAAAGCTTTGTTCGCAAGTGCACGGCACTTAATGCGAGGCAAGAAAAATGGAAAGAAAATGAAATCGATGCCTTCCATTAAGTGGGAAAATTTGTGGGTACTTCGGGTCCCACGGATGGTGGGGGAGGTTGTAACGGGGTTGCACGAAGGTGTGCATTTTGCATGCACATCAGCCACACCAATGTGGTGTGGCTGTACCTTGGGTACAAGAGTAGGCGGGCGCATCGTGGCAGAAAGCCACGTGGTCACTATACTTAGTTAAGTATAGTGACTATACATGTTTGCATAATTATAATGGGCTATAGAGCCAGTAAGTAGTGAGTAGCACTAAGTATAGAGTAGGTGCTTCTATATTTAGCGTTAGAAGATAAACATAAATATAAATCAGTTTCAAACCTGCTCTTATAGCACTAGTTGCTATAGCGTTCTATTTCTTATAGGAACTGTATCTTTGTTACTAGTCTCTTTGAGACGCGGTTGCTTGTAACCAAATACATAAGCTTGTTAAGCTAGCCTTGGAGAGGGTTAAGAACCCTAAGACGTATAAGCTCTTTGAGCTTGTCTCACTCTGTACGTAGTGCATAATTAGCTTGGCTACAGTAGCTCTGCTACACTGCGTGGCATCATCTCCAATGATGTTACGACACATCGCCTCAGCGATGATGAATCGGCGCAACTATTTTGTGAGCAGAGATGCAAGCGTATAACGCTTTGTCGGTATTTAAGCGCAAAGAGGAAACACTGTAGGTGCTCAAGTATAAAGTATTTAAAGCAGTAAGAGGCTTTACAATTAAGTGCTGGGTACTAAACGCTTACTTAGCAAGTGTTGAAAGCACTGAGGGGGGCTTCATAAGTAAGTGCTGAGCACTTCAAATGCTTGAAAAGCAAATGAATAATTAATTCGCTGAAACTTTACTATAAGTTTGATCAAACGTGTGTACGCCGAGTCCCACGGGTTGGTGGGGAAGAGTGTCACGGGGTTACACAAAGGTGTGTATTTTGCAACGCAATTTTGGTGTGGCTGTATTTTGTATACATTAGGAATGATGAGACCGTATTTAAGATACAAAGGATCCACATTGTGACAGAGAGCCACGTGGTTATAGTATTTTGATTAAGTACTATGGAAACATATGCGTGTATTGTAGAAGGCTACAGAGCCAGTTAAATATAGTAAGTTTACAGTAAATGCTTCGATATTAGTGCTAGAAGATAAACAGTTCAATAAATCCGTCTAATATGCTATGTGTAGTATTTGCCGCTAGAGCGTATGTTAAACATATGCAAGTGGTACTGATGGTGCTTGATTAGATGGCGGCAAAAGCCTAAGTGAATATATTTTGCATGTAAGGCTTTACCTCTTTTGTTTGTAGTCTTACCTGTCCTTTGTGTTTCTGCTTCATACGTACTGTGACCACCGTGTCCTGATCTTCACAACGAAGGAAGTTACGAAACTCCTGAGATATTAGGTGACCTTTGCTTCTGACAGCGTAATCCTTTGCGGAATGAAATAGTACCTGCTGGTCTCATTAAGACGTGGTTATTTAGAACCAGAAGACGCAAGATAATAAAGCGAGGCTTGAGAGGGTTGTTGACCCTAAGACGTAAAGCTCGTATAGCATGTCTTCCTCTGCACTAAGTGTATAGGAAGCTTTGCTACGGTATCTCTGCTACACATTGTACCTTAGGTACGAAGACTCAATAGAAGCTGTTTTCTTGCCATAAAAAAGCTTCTATTACGTCTCCGTACGTAATATACACCACGTGTATGCGATATCTTCAAATCATGCATGTAGGAAAGCTTTGAAACAACATCTTGACAATGTCTTCTGTTTTATGGGCAGTTTCGCCTTCTTGTATAATCAATACTTTCCAGCCACACCAGAATGGTGTGGCACTTATGTAGGTACAGTAACACCTTTTGTAACCTTGACGTGCACCATTGCAGCTGCAACTGGTAATGTGGAGGAGTATTCAGGAGCACACACGTGATTATTGGTCTGAGGCAAAGCTCCCTCCTTAATTACTCGTGGCATATTAAATAACGATGCATGACGTTCAACGACTGAATTTAACTTCAATTTTTATGGTGCTGCTGATTCGTCGCGATCACAACAGTTTCGAGCACAAGGCTGAGCACACGTCCTTTTACTTGGCGAGCTAGAGGTGATTCATCTCCGGTGCTGACATACGGATGCAATTGCATGCGCTGGATAATGCTCACATCATTGTATCAAGACACGTATGGAGCGATGGCACTGACAGGCAAGCGTCTGCTTTGGTTTTAAAGGAAAAATAAACGTTTATGCAAAGTGCGATTTCGCTCGCGAGCTCGTTGGGGCCAACGGGCTGGGTGTGGACTATGTGTAAGCTGCCGTCATGGCCATGGTCGCCGTCACACTGACGAAGATCGTGCCGCGATCACGTTGGAGAATGTTATGAAAAGATGTTGAACGAATGCCGATCAAAGGAGGGTTATGGTGGCAATCGAATACATCATTGAGACTTTTTTGATGTCCAGCTTGCGACCTGATGGAAATGTTGCATCAGCTAATTGGATGAATAAGAGAAGTCAGCTCATACCCGCGGATCTAGTCTCATACTAACGTAAGTTTTGGATCTACCACTTCTGCAACATTTTCCTTACCTTAATCTCTAACGGCGACAGCACCCACTCTGTCAACACAAACTGGTCATTCAAGTCCCAGTATCTAAATCAGCTTTCCAAGTCTGTTGTCGGTGAATGGATAAAACACTCAAGTCTATTTCAATATTAGACAAACACTTTGAGCTGAACCTGCTAGCAAGTATTGACGTTAGGATGAATTGAATTGACAGCAAAAGCGTTTCAGATTGTTGAATCCAAGTTCATAGAGGACATTGTTCCAGACGATGTGGTTTAGCTGCAAATTTGATCTAATTGCTTTCCAGGTTAATGGATCACTACATTTTGAGTGTAAGAAATAGAACAGCTGCTAGTAAAAGTATCTCTCAAGTACAGAACACCCTGTCAGGTGTGATTGTGGTAAAAGAGGTAAAAGAGATAATCCATGCAACAATTCCATCAATTAGTGCAAGAAGGCATGAAAGCACCGTTGATTTAACAGCTAAGAAACTATATTCTATCTACGAGCGTTTTATTTCTCAGCACGGACGATTTCGATGATGCCAGTACTTCTATTTCATCGAGTCATTGTCGTTAATTCCAGTCACACAACTGCTTAAAAGGCAGGAAGTACGATTCTGAGCTATAACCGTTGATTGAATCGCATGGCACAAAAACGGCAACACACAGATACATCCGTGCATGACACGGCGTACTGAATGAAACAGATTGGAACTGACGTACAGGATTGATTGATTTGTCAAGCAACAAATGTATACACATGATAGATGTATACCGACGACAGATGTATACACACGACAAATCTATTTTATACAGATGTTTTTCGAAACAAAAATGATTTTACGACTTCAATACACTATGATAGTTCATAAATATGGAATGAATGTGCCTTCCGCATTCCAAATGCTCTGTCATAGGTTCTTGCATCTACATAGTTTATTATACAAGTCAACTTTTTTTCAGAGCGACATGTCGCAAACCCCTAAACCTTATCATAAAGAAGTTTCTTACTTAACTCAAGTGTTTTTGTATTGTATATAAAACAAAGTATGCAATACATATATCAAGTCTAATCAGGGCTCCAGCAAGACCATTTAGCACAGAGTGACGACCTCAAGTGGCACAAGGGCAGCGCATTGTCTCGAGCGTCTCGAGCGTGCCTAGGGTCATTTATCACAACAAAAAGCATTGCTACTTGTTTTCCTCTATCTAGATATTCTCGTGGTACAAACACAGTCTCATTTAAAGTAGTACAAGTGCTACAAACAGTGTGTAAACGTTTTAGACTAGACCGCTCTGTCATCTCAAGTCTTTTGACACTGAGACAGTGCATTTGGAACGTCGTTTGACACGTTCAGAACGTTTTTACTTGGTCTTTTCTTACTCTTTACGATTCATTCGGTCTATCGCAATCGAGACTTTGTAAAGTGCTAGTCATTTGTATTAAAAAGATGGATGAAAGTGACGTGTATGTACGAGAAGAAGGTGATCGTCCGATTGAACATTCACCTCGTGGACGTTATATTCGCTTTGATATTCGATTAGGTACAGGTGCTTACAAATCAGTCTATAAGGCATATGATACAGATCAAGGAATTGATGTGGCATGGAATGCGATTGATATTGGTCTTTTACCTAGTACAGAGAAGACACGGATTATACAAGAAGTTCAATTACTACAAAAGCTCGAGCATAAGAATATTATTAATTTTTACGGTAGTTGGTTCTCAAAGGAAAAGAATCAGGTCGTCTTTATTACAGAAATTATGACATCAGGCACGTTAAAGTCATATATTAAACGCGTTCAATTTATCAAGTGGAAGATTATAAAGAGATGGTGCATTCAGATTCTTGAAGGATTGCACTATTTACATAGTCAAAATCCACCAGTAATTCATCGTGATTTAAAGTGTGACAATATCTTTGTGAATGGTAATACGGGTGATCTGCGTATTGGAGATTTGGGACTATCAACTCAATTAGCAGTGGACAAGCGATCGAAGGCGCAAAGTGTGCTAGGTACACCTGAATTCATGGCACCAGAGCTGTATGACGAAAGCTATGACGAAAAAGTTGACATTTATGCGTTTGGAATGTGCGTGTTGGAGATGGTGACCAAGGAGGTGCCATATTCGGAATGTATCAATCCAGCGCAAATTTACAAAAAAGTTACAGCTGGTATTCGACCAAAGGGTTTGCAGCGCGTGGTTAGTCAAGCTGCACGTGATTTTATTGAGTTGTGTCTATCGCGTGGAAATGGCCTAGTCGATGTGACGGCTCAATATTTGCTGGATCATCCATTCTTGAAAGCGCAAGATGATGATAATGACATGGTTGAGTGCTTGGATGAAGATGAGCTTGAGCGTGAAAGCAAACAGGCACAGCAGCGGTTGGAGAGAGTTGCTGAAGAGTCATTCTCGTTGGAGTTTAATATGGAAGGTGGGTCGAAAGAGGGCACTGCTGTGGTGGTCAGTGAGCGGCATAAGCAATTTGCATCGCTTTCGGCGGAGCCAGAAGTATTATTAGCAGCGTCAACAGTGAGTGGTAGTGCTTTTATTTCGAAATATGCTGGAAGTGCGTCAATGCTTTCTCCAAGTGCCCCTGAAGAGAAAAAAACGACAGCCGGAACACACCGATTGACCGAGCTGCCGCCAGTTGGATCTCTTGAGCGCAACAATACTACTGCGCTATCTTCTACCGAGCATGCCCCATCACTAACATCAGCATCAATGTTAGCTCTGACGCCAACACTAGCGCCAACGTCGTCGATACGAGCAATTGGTCCTTCACCGGAAGAGTTTTCTAAGTTTGTCCACTCTCCATCTCAGCCTGTGATCAGTGAAATATTTGGCGGTGATGAGCCGTTATTGTCGGGTAAAAAGAGCGCAGATTCACACGTTGATCAATTCCTCGCGACATTGCCTGGCACAGAGAGTGCGATCCAGAACACACGGATAAATATTATGGGTGGCAGAGGCCACCGATTGGACTTAGAAAATGACAGCATACCAGAATACGCAGACAGCCCCGCGGAATCGCCTCTGGCCAATGGTAAAGAAACGCCTGAGCACTCACAGTCACTTATCGGGGAATCGCCGTTTTTACGTGCAAACAATGCCAAGATAGAGCCTCCTAATTCGGCACCAGGGCTGTTGACACCGTCTCAAGCCCCCGAAGGTGAAATTCCGTCTTTGCGCCTTCCCGAACGTGATATAGAGCCTCAGGCTAACCTCGTTCGACGTGCGAGTATACACGGTCAGTTTGGCGCTTTACTGGCTGCTTCTAGAACAGCAGAAAATGTTGCTCCTGCCGGCAGTCTGTCGACTCCTCTGCCACCATCTCAACAAAGTTTTCAATCTGCTGCAAGCAGTGGAGCTACGCGAAAGCGTCCAAAGCGACATGAGATTAAAGCTGCAAAAGACCCGAACAATGAGCATAGCATTCTGCTGAATCTGCGCATCATCATTGATGGCAAATCAAAGGAAATCAAGTTTCCTTTTAATTTGTTTGCTGATAGCCCTCACGAAGTTGCTTGCGAACTGGCCGTGGACGTGGGAATTTTGGAACCGGACCTTGAGGATATTGCCGACTCTATCCGTTTTCTTGTTACGGAGGGCAAAATCAACAATCTTTCTGACGTGCAAGAAGATGTATGGGAAGAAGCACCCGAGCCTCATTCGTTCTCTTCGATTCCGTTTCCGAATGTATCCAAGATGTCTTTTGTGCATATGCCACCAGAGACGACGTACCAACAGCAACAAGCATTTTTGATGAATGCGACACCACTGGAACGCACATCGAGTGGTGCAAGTGCAGTCACCTCAGGAGTGTCGACTTCGTTGATAGGCGCCGGTGGCAGTGCTGCTACTATGCCTGGTCCAAAGGCGACTCAGGAGGTGGAAGTGGCAGGATCGCTGGACTCGGTAAGTGCTGCAAGTCTCAGCGACCCGTCTACAACATTGATGGTAGTGGACGGGGGCATTCCTTCTGGTGGTAGCAGTAGTAGTAGCGGCGCTTCCCTACCGTTCCCAAATGAAGTCAGCCGCTCGCCACCGCAGCCTGGTCACGGCCATGCTGCCAGCAAGTCTAATCTTACGAAGGAGGCCTTGCTGAGCATCTTAGAAATGCGAGCTCGTGGTATGTCGATGGGCTCGGTCGCTGATGCAACATATGTGCAGCAAATTCACCAGCTAGAAGATCGACTGAAGATTGCACGGACATCGTTTGATGAACGAGAATCGTCGCTGGAAGCTGCGATTCGTAGTGAAGAGGAGAAGCACCAGCGTGAAATTGAGCGGTTTAGAAAAAAAATGGAGGAATTTGACAAGCAGCGCGCAGCTATTTTGCGACAGCAAAATGGGGACAGCGTCGCGAATGGCTCGTCATCAACCGCATTGGACGAAAGTCTGCGGTTGGTTGGTCAAGAAGACTTGCTGGCAACCGCAAATGCTCCGAGTTTATCTACAGACGTGGACTTCAACAGTGATGTGGGGTTTTCACTGAGCGGGTCTGACGATGAGGCTTTTCCAACATCTCCAGCAGCAACAGCAGCGGCGCCTTTGCCTATCTCAGTCTCAAGCAGTGCACCACCACATGTGAATCCAAGTGTTGAAGCCGCCGCTCTCCCAGCGGCGGTGCCAGTAGACGAGCTGATCCCGGATCGTGAATCACACTCTGCTGCAACATCGGCAGCAAGAACTGATACGACAACAAGCGCGGCGGCAAACAGTCAGTCAGTGTCGGTGCCGTTGCAGTAGAGAACCTCGCAATTGTGCTGTTGCGTTATCGTGATGCTCTTAAATGCTTGTTTCGATTTTTGGTTGGCTTAGACGTGAGGAGACGGTGAGCGTGACATGGTTAGCTGCAAGCTCACCGTGATTTTGCAACGATGGATATTGGCATGAGAGGAATGACGGCACGTAAATGAAAGCTTTGTCTTGTTATTTTAATGGGAGACGAGATGTGAAAATAGGAAAATTTGCAGCCCGAACGTGTTTTGTTAGTATCAGCTCTCTCAGTCATTACAAGGGCTACAGCATTGTGGTTAAATAATAAAGCACGGTATTCCAATTTAACTGCTTGGAGCGTGGCCTTGTATGTCTGAAAACTATTGGAAGATATTTTAAGTAACGGTTAAACGCAGCACTTGATTGGTAAATACTATCACAGAAGCTTTCTGACACTCAAACTCTCGGTCTCGCTATCTATTGATATCCACTTTTCTGTCATCAGTTTTGCAAGGGTTTTTGATATTGATTTGAATTGTCAGAGGTTTCGTTAGAATCAGACTTGCGAGATTCAGATTTAAGATGACACGTGATGATATTAAACCCACTCATGTAAATACTGACGCACTAGAGGCGGCAATGAATGCCCGAGAGAAGAAACAACAAGCAGAAAAAGATCATGAGAAGGAAGAGGAGCATGATAGGAGCGATGATAGTAGATCGATTCCAACGCTCTCGAACTGTATGGATCTCAACGATATTCAGGATAATGAGCTTTACTATGTGGGTACAGCAGGCGTAAAAATCATCGAGTTAGACGGCATAGAAATGCTACAGAATGTGAAAAAGCTGCACGTACGTTCGAATCTATTGCGTTCAATGACAAGTGTATCGTCTTTGGTGCATTTAGAGCACTTAGAGCTGTATGATAATCGAATTGAGACAATTGAAGGCGTACAAGAGCTCGTGAATCTAAAGGTCCTGGATTTATCATTCAATGAGATTCGAGTGATTCCAGACTTGAGTCCTTTGTCTCAACTGGAAGAGCTTTATGTGGCCAATAACAAGTTAAAGAAGATTGCGGGCATTGAAAATCTCTCGAAGTTGAAGAAATTAGATCTTGGTGCCAATCGACTGCGAAGTATTGAAGGTTTGAATGGACTCGTGGAACTTAAGGAGTTGTGGCTAGGAAAAAACAAGATTACAGCAATTCAGGGACTCGAAAAACTTACCAAGTTAAAGATCATCAGTGTGCAGAGCAATCGTGTGGTGACGATTGCGGGACTCACAAACAATGTCGACTTGGAGGAGCTGTATCTGAGTCATAATGGTATTGAGACAATTGAAAATGTTGAGCATCTGGTAAGACCTTTTGTTGTGTCGTTGCTATTTGATGTCGTAAAGAGTGATGAATCTCACGCTCTTGGTTGGTATTTGTTATTTTTCTTCTTGTCCTATGATAGACAAATCTAACAACCATGGATCTTGCTGGAAACCGTATCACGCATATTCCGACAAACATGGCTTCACTTTTGCAGCTAGAAGATTTGTGGCTAAATGACAATCAGATCGCGCAGTATGCAGATGTGGAGAGCCTGGCGTCTTTAGCAGGGTTACGCACGTTGTACCTCGAGCGAAATCCTCTTTCTCAAGACTTTGAATACCGAATGAAGCTCGAAGAGTTGCTGCCACAGCTTGACCAAATTGATGCGACAGCGACAACGAGGGCGAGACAACGACATATATAGTCGCAAGTGAGGTCGATCGGTATCACCGTGAATCTGAATGATAAAGAGACAGATTGGACCACTTAAGTTTTGCATGCAAATGCACAAGACTCGTCGCGTTTGTTTGTGCGTAAGTTGCCGAGGTTACATTTGTCTTTGCTAATTTGTATGCTGCTGCCGTCGCATTAAAGCTAAGACTTGGACGATTCTAAGCTCTGGCATGTGTGGAACGGTTTGCTCTAGTAATGACGGTATTGTGTATACACATTTAAAATAAGGGTCCACATGACATACCGGCGTACATTTGGTTTTTGACTAAATATGGTTTAAACCACCGAAACGACTTTTCACCAACAAAACTGTAAAAATTGCTCAAAGAGTGAGTATGGAAGGAATGCTTAACTACTTTGTACCTGAGGACGGAGACTCCTCTGACCATTTAAACGTTGTACCGCTACCACGTGTGGATCTGCTACGATTACAACATATTAAACAGGTTAGAGATACGATCTCTATCTAGTCCAATGGTTTAAAAAATTGATTTAGAAGGATGTTTGCTCTTATTTCGTTTGGAACGTATTTTAGAGTTTTCCATTACCTGGTAATTTTCATTTTCGCTTCAAGACGGAATTTGAGGGAACATACGGTACGGTAATTAATAATGCTAGACATTATACAGTTATAGAGCAATTTATCAAGAGCTTACTTAGGGACTGATGGGATCGATAGTGTGGCTGGACGTCGTGAACGACACGGACCCAGTGCCGGACTATAATGGACTTGTGATTTGCAAGATATCACGCGTACAAAGTGGCAATTCCATGCGTCCAATCGAGAAAATGGAGATATCAACAGCACAAGTAGAGACACCCGATTTGATTGAACCGTCATTGTCACCTGGTACGTTACAAATGGATATTATGTTATTGATAAGAAGTAGCACTGATCAATGCTTGGCTGCATATAGCCAAGCGAGAGGAACCTCCGATTGTACAAAAGACTTTTAACGACGATTTGGTTGGATTGGTAAGTACTGGCTACTGGAAGAAAAAGAAAAACAATTGTCAGGTATCGAAATGATTTGTGAATGTATTGTTGTGGTGTTTTTGTTAGCTATCGGGTTCCGTGTCTTCATCAACATCGCAACCTACTTCGGCTCCATCTTCAGTCCCTCCGGTAATAACTTGTCAAGTGGTGTTCGTGATTCTTTGTCTCAAAAGATGTCATGTTGATATGTTTATATTGAAACAGCCAAGTCCTCCTCCTCCGGTAACTCGAGATCCGTTTGATGTCTTTGCTGGTAATAGTACGGCTCCAATGCGGCCGACACCCATTTCATCTACTATGGCAAGCAATGGGCCTCGAGGCTTGTCACCAACTACGATGGGGAACCATAATGGAGCGTTTGGTTCTCAGGGAGGTTTTAATGCCATTGGTGTTGGAGGTCCTTCTTTGATGGCTCCTCGTGGACCTAGCGGTATGAATATCAGCCAAATGCACATGGGCATGGGTTCCATACAGGGAGGAGGTATGCAACAGCAACAACAAAACAGTTTTCAGGGTCTGCAGTGGCAAGGCATGGGACATCAACATCAATCGCAACATCACCGAAACCCAAATACGAGACAATGGTAGGTACCAAAACATTTCCAGGCTGCTATCATTGAGCCAGCAATATTGTCAGGCCATGCGTATTGAGTGAGCAATGTATATGGACAAAGTTGCCAACGACAAGTTGAAGTCGTTACGCTGTTAATCTGTCTTTGGTTTCGATTTCGTATCTCTCACCCGCTGCTCCAATCCTGCTCGTGAAGTCAAACCTCCCTTTTTTTTGTCACAGGATATCTTGAAACGTTCCTCAACAGTCACTTTCGAATTTGGTCAATCGTTCCAGTCCTATTTGCTTCATCATGTCAATTGAACCATCTCGCTATGGTCCAGACTTTCATTGTGTTACGATATCTCGAGATATATTTGAAGTCCGCTCTCACTATGTAAATCTCCGTCCTGTCGGTGGTGGTTCCTACGGCATTGTCTGTTCTGCTGAAGATACGGTATCTCTACATGTTTAAACCGTCTAACATCTAGTTTCTTCAATGATATCTTTCAATCTAAAGCTTCGGTTCTCATGCCATGATTGCAATCGTTTTGTCCATGCAGCAACGAGGTAGTAAAGTGGCCATTAAGAAAATCACTGACGTATTTGATGATCTCACGGATGCAAAACGGATTTTACGAGAGATGAAACTTCTTCGACACCTTGGAATACATGAAAACATTATCAATGTAAGAAGCAAAACGTTGTACTGTTGATTGCTCACTGTTTGCTAGTAACAATGTATTGCTAATCGATGAGGGGGGGGCAATGCTGTTTTTTTCTGTGTAGATTCTGGAAGTGATTTTGGTCCCACCAAATGTCATGGACTTTCACGACATTTACATCGTTACAGACCTAATGGAAAGCGACTTGGAACGCATTATCAGCTCCTCGCAACCTCTCTCAGATGCCCATTTTCAATACTTTTTGTACCAAATTCTACGTGGCATGAAGTTTGTACACTCTGGGAATGTGCTACATCGCGATCTCAAACCGTCCAATTTGCTTGTAAACTCAAACTGCGACTTATCCATTTGTGACTTTGGATTGGCACGAGGAGTAGAAATGGCACATAACGAAGACTTGACAGAGTACGTTGTTACACGCTGGTATCGAGCACCAGAACTGCTTACAGACTGTCAGAATTACAACGACGCAGTAGACGTCTGGGCCATTGGATGCATTTTTGCCGAAATGTTACGTCGTCGACCATTCTTTACTGGACGAGACCCGTCCGACCAATTGCATATGATCATTCGGGTGCTTGGATCGCCTACTGAAGAAGAAATGGCTTTTGTGCCGCATGAAGCTGCCAAACGAGCAATTTTACAGCATGGATTCTATCCGAAGGTGCGTTATGCTCGTTGATTGTTGATGCAGGTCAGTGATGTTTGACATTTACTGCATGTGAACAGCGTCCGTTGATAGAGTTTTTCCCGGATGCCAATCCGCTAGCGGTTGACTTGCTCTCCCAAATGCTCAAGTTTAATCCTGCCGAACGTATTTCCGTCGTGCAGGCATTAGCACATCCGTACCTGGCGCAACTCCAGAACCCCGTACGTATTTCACCAATATGCGTTCTATGCTTTGTGGCTTTACTTATGCAATCTCTGATGATAGACCGACGAGCCCGTGTGTGCCGAGTCCTTTAACTTCGACTTTGAGCGTGAGTCTTTAGATTTAGGCATCGAGATGCCTAAAGAGGAGCTACAGCGACTGGTCTTCCAGGAGTGCATGTCAATCCACCAGATAGAAGCGCATCAATAGCTGTAAATGATTTGGACTGATCGACTTCCATACGTGCCGAATGAAGGTTCAGTAACGAAGTGATCCGCTGGCCATCGATGTGCTTATCAAGCGATAATACATTACGCACTTCATGCATTTCTTCAAACTATTGGTCACAATATCCAACTTCTTTCATTACACTCTTGATATATTAGCATGATCCCATAGTATCCGATCCAGTAAAAGTATACTACTATCATGTAGCCTTCCTAGCAAAGCTTTTCAATGCATCTTGAACGACAAACCAGCAAACAGTACGCTTTTGCAATTGCAACGTGCGACAAGATTCTACTTCAACAACCACGATACACGTGACGTCGTTGTCAAGTGTCTATTGGGCAATGTCGAAAAGGTTGCGCATCATTAGGATAGGATCAGTCATGGATCTTGGTGGTGTTCCCTCCCGCTGCAATGATATGACAGTGGGTTTGAAAAATTCATGATGAGTGGGAACGAGATAGTTAATTAGCCAGGCAGTACACAACGGTTTGTTTACATCACTAGAAATGCTCTGACAAGTGTCTGAATGAAGACAGCAACAACTTGACTCTTTACCTCTATATGGTATAGATCGACCTCTTGTTCAAAACATGCAGAAACAATATGCTGTATTCTCTTAACGGAATGATAGTAGACGATAGAAGCTTTTGTCACGGTATCATGTCTCCATGTCTCCAAAAGGCTTTTGACGATACGAGTTTGGACATGTCAAGAATAACGACAAATTTAAACACTAAGGCGATCGCCTATATGTACACTTGGGGGTTTAAGGTAAACCGACTCTGCTTCAAGCCTGAGCCACAGCGTAGAGCTAGCTACTTAAGACCCTTTTCTCTCCAACTAACGCGAATCTTAACTCGAACCCGATGTACCATAAAGTGAATTGGCGTGTGATCGACATAGACCTTTCTTCTTCACGTGCTTTGTGCAGTCAGTCACACGGCACTTGCGCTTACCACCATGAGCCGTACATAGATCCTGTCGCACAACGCCCTTTTGACAGCCCTTGACGCTGCAACGTCTGCCTCCACCATGGCGGATACACAATCCCATGCTGCGCTGGATGTTGGAGCACCCAGCGGCACGGCAGATACGACCGCCACCATGGGCCACGCACAGTCCCTTGCTTTGTGCACCGCGCGTGCAACCCTTTCGTTGACATCGGCGACCTCCGCCATGACTGATGCACAATCCTCGGGTCACAGCGTTGCTAGCGCATTGAGGAAAAGCACAGAGCTTCTTCTCACGCTTGGCCTCGTTCAACCCCACTATATCGGACCGAGGAGAGTCAGAGATACGCATGGAGCGACCAGCTTGCTCCAGTTGATTCATAGAGTCGGCCGAATCCGCTAGCGAGGTCAAAGAACTCCGGCCCGGTCGGTCTAGCCACTGTGTGAGATCAATGGACTCGGCTGCCGTCCGCTTAAGGTGGCGCACCAATGTGGGTGCATCCATGGAAGTGCTGCGTTCTAACCGATTGCGCTGAAAGCCATCATCCAGTGATGATGAGATTCCAGTATGCGGCAGACACCCACGCAATGTGTCAGTCTCACTATTGCAAGATTGTGTCCGCACGTAGGTTTGCGGATCAATGGCAGGTCTCCAGCTTTGCTCAACAATAGGTAAGGCCGTACTTGCCAACGGTGTCGTGGGGTTCGATCCCAGTGCTGCGCCCGGATTCGTATCAGATGGACACGATGATGCGCGCATGTAGCGAAAAGGTTGACAGAGATCAGCAATGGACATGACGCTGTGATGCGTCGTTGTCTCTTGTGTGAAGTGTCGCTTGAGTGGTGGGATGGGTGATGAAGAGATTTCGGAGAAGCTACCGGACCGTTGAATGAAGTTGCTGCTTTGTCCAAGTGCCGGTAGACTTGGCCGTCCGTCTTCCGTCGTCTGCACGTCTTCCTGGTTGGTAAATGGCAAAGGGTTTGCCCACTTTTGTGGAGATAATGGAGGTGTAAGACTTGGTAAACGAAAGGATGGAGAGGTACTACCAGTGCCATGTGAGGTGTCAAAAGTAAAGACACCTGCTTCCCTTGGTAAACCACTGTAGACAGCATTAGGTGGTGCCGTTGTGCGCTCAGGGCTACGCACACTGAGTTTCGGGATATACCCGAGAGTCTGTTTCGCCATGAAACGCGTCAATTGATTATGATGATTGAGTGGTGTCAGTGCTTTCGATACAGTTAAAGACGATGATGACGATGGCACTAACGGAGACGAATGCTGTGGCAGACCGTCCAGTGTTGGCATGGAAAGCGTTGTTTGCGCATCGTCCGTAATCGTACAAGTCACATCCATGACAGTATCAGGTTTACCATCGATTGGTGGCTCCTGATCAGGTTCCCATTGGTGCCAAGTATCCTGCTGACCGTTATTGCTTACGTTTTCACTCATGTAGTCTGCAAGGCCCATTTGTCCGTTTAAAAAAAGACAAGCAGTCAGTTTGTAATGGTTCTCTCCGGTCTCGACGCTGCCAAAGCAAGAATGAAACCAAACAAACAAACAAATGAATGAATGAATTCAAGTTTTTCTTCGTTTTGCTTTTTGTGTCTAATGACGACGTTTGGCACAACGTGAGCGATATCTTGCAAGAGGGAGAATGAAACGCCAAGTAGGCACGACCAAAAAAATATGGAAGAGCTGCTGGACGCCCGCCTGGCGTTGTCGCCGGCTCATCTGTTGTAGAAATTGCAGACTAGAGTGAAAATGACTATGGACGAGTGGGTGATGGTGGTGGTAGGATCATTCATTGTACAAGTGCACACACACAATCAGTAAAACGTTGACGAGGACGAGGAGGAGGAGGAGACAGGCCTGACGTAGTTAGTACTCAAGTGGATCAGAGCTGAAAGTTTTTTATGTTTTATAATCATCGTCGAATTACCGTCGACACTTTATTTTTTCAGATTTATAACTTCAAATCCGTATAATAGATGCATCTATCTATATTACACGGGTTTAGGGGTTTGCAGCCAATTTGTAGACAAGAAGTTAGCCTGTCGAGTTTTATGGAAGATAGGGTGATTTTCTCAGTGTTTAAGTGTGATATTATTATTATTATGTATTCTTTTTCAGTAAAGCGTTTGCCACATTCGAGTAACGAACGGAGGTTACAGTACGCAACAGAGTGAAGGCTACTGCGCAATAAGGACAAGTTACGGTTTAAAACTAGGTGACGTTTTATTTCACACAAGAAAACTGTTCCATTTTCACATGTATCGGCGGTTATACTACGGTTCAGTGGGCGGGTTTGAAATTTTTCCAGTGAAGATTTGTGACGTCTTTTTACTGTCATGTATTGTAAATTTCATCACTGATGAATCAATAGAGCAAAACAACGTGCTGATTCATTGTGGATCCGAATACGTTTAGATTCGAATAATAACTTGTACGACACTTCTGGAATTTTGTCTTTTGAATCACAACCATGTCAGATTCACGTATATGTATGCTGTTGTATCGACACATGGTGATAAACTTGTTGTGAGTGTCAGCAATTCTCGGTCGTGATCGTAGAGCTCATGGGACCTGCACAACCCTAGTGACCTGTTTGAGCTTACGATGATTTGGACAGAGAACCGTCACAGTAATCGAACGCGATGGATCTACGGTGACAATATCACCTCATATCGTCTGCGAGTGTTCATCTTACGGCAGGCAAAACAAAATGCTTTGAAATGCAGCTGGGTCGTGTGAAGTGACTTTTAACAGAGCAGTCAAACTTTAAAACAGAAGGGTATCCGATGTGCTTGTGAAAAGAGCTCTTGCTACAGTGTAATGTACCAGAAGATCAAGCAGAGCTCATAAAAAGATTCATCGAATAAACGAACTGTAATATTCATGATCTTGACAGAATGATTGATTATTTATTGGGTTCTAGTGACTATTTCCGTAAATATGCAAAATTGATCTATAATAAGTAAACAGACTTGTTACCACACGTAGAAAGGGATAAAATGGAGTCTGACCCCGAATTAGAAAGGATGAGTGACTCATCCCGCCTCTTCTTGCTGTTACTTTACTCACTCATTATCATAGAAACAACACTTCAGAGATTTACAATTTATGAAATAGCGATAGCTAACGTCACTCTATGGTTGTCAGTCAGCCAAAATCATCGCTATGCTATCAGGATGTTTGTTAGCCACCACATGCTCACGATGGTATAGTCAAATATTCAGGGACCAGTGCAACTCATCGCTCAACTTGACGACGTCGATAGTATTGCGTCAACATGTATTTGAAAAAAGTGCCTTGGCCAGTATTGCAGCTCTATGCAATGTGAACTCTTACACTCTGCAAATGTAAGACGCACCGGTGCTTATTTGTCGAACTATGTCGAAACCCTTCGCAAGGCCAACGTCAAACACTACGCAATCTTCATGATGCAAAATACCGATGCGATTGCCGTTTCATCTGACTCAGCAAAGTGAGCTTGAAATAATACATGATATCTGTGTGTTCGCTTCGTTGAACATCTCAACCGTCGGTTAGGGTGTATCTTGGCAACGATCGTGCATTCCTCACGCATTGGCGAGTGGAACGTATTGTGCGTTTGAACAACTGTTTGGAAACGCTACTGCAACGCACACAACAGCTGAATTACGCGAGAGCGTCAATAGTCTCAACCACCATAGCTCTGGACAGACCACTCATGTACTTGGTGATGTTGTAGTGTAGGACCGGATCAATCGAATCTAAGGATAAAGTACGCATGATTCGGGAATGTTCAGTGGACGTCAGATTTTGCAAGTATCCATACGTTATCAGGTACTTCAAGCAGAAAGACAGCCGATCTCGCAGGGCAGTGCTTCAGATAACGTTTGCGGCAGTTTCTTAGCAATCGAGACTGTCGCTTGGCGTGATAGGTATCCGCCGTCGGAAGGATATCAAGATGCGTTTGATTGAATAAAGCAGACGACGCTTTTGAAGTTAGTATCTCGTGAATTTGAAACTGGAGCGTGCATGGCCTTTATGTCGTTGCGCTGGTGTCAGGACGTTATCAACAGCGCGTGTGCCACGTCCTGACATCTTCAAGATATGATAATCGTAACTTGTGCTCAAACAAATTTATTACCGCAGCTAAGTAAGTACCCAACACATTTGTTGGCCTTAGCGCTTTTGTAAAATCGTGCAGAACCATGTATGCGTCTGTTGAGGTCCAACGTGTGACAAGGTTATGCGTTTCAGTCGTAACGGAGTGTTGTTTTACGCGACAGAGAATAGTTTTTCTTAAGATCGCAATTGAACTCAGCACCAACGTTGCCTTGTTTTGTGAGCTGAGCTTCTTGTGGCTTGCCTCGACGACGTAGTAACATCTGCAACAGCGTAGCGTCACACTAAAAAATGCCAAATTCACATACTGGTCATCGTATAGTGTTGCATTTGCAGAGCGACAAATTCCTGGTCGTAGGAATGGGGGGAAGGGCTTGAGGTGATTGTTGTCAGTTTCGTCCCAAGAGGCGACTGAGAATGAGCTCGTGCGTTTTGTTTGAGAAACATTTCGTCATAGTGTGTCTATAGTTCGCAACGTGAAGAACGTGACAGATACGATTGTGGTGAGATTGTCTACAAGCAACTGATCCTGTTCAAGTCGTTACGGGAATTGGTTGCAGGTTGAGTATTGTACTCATGTATCTAGCTATCTCTTGCCCAGCCTGATGCATCCATACCCACTGCCATATAATCTTCAGCAATGACTTTGTCAACCGTAGGTTACTTGAATCGACCACAAACAGAATAGTGGTAGCAAGTATGGCTTACTCTCGTATAATGGCTCGTCACAGAAGCCACACTAACTAGCCTTTGCGTATATGCGTTATTCCGAGTACCGAGCTGTTTGTTGGTCTTAGGAAGTTGATGGTATCCTGACAAAGACGACTTCCATCGATTAAAGGCTACGATAATCAGCCTGAACTCGTGATGTGGTGGCTTTGTCTTAAGATGTCATCAAAACAAACACTCTAACTAACGTATGAAAAGAGTGTTTGACGTAGGTGAGTAAGCATTAGAATCTTATCACTAGCACATTTTGATCTACACGGTGCAGCAACATGATGAAGCATCGATTCATTGAACCCATTGTAATCTGCGTAGGTACGTCGCTAACATACAAGTTTGACCTGCAGAAGTTGGTGACGACCCACGGGAACAGACTGTCCCGTAAGAAGGAGGTGAGGCGTGGCCAGAAGATAAGCTTCATAAACGAGACTTGATCTAGCGAGCTGGGCACCTTGTAGTGAATGCAAAACTGAGGGTACTGCAACCTCTGCAGCAGAAGTCATTGTTGCGTCTTCTTGTTGCGCGTAGCTTACCACTAAGCATTGAATACGACTACGACCGTGCTTGACATAACTTTGAGCAAACAACTTACGCGATGGAGTCAGGGCTGCTAGGATCAACTGCGATGATCAGTAGCAGATTAGCTGTAAGTACTGGAATAGCGCACCTTACAATGCGTTATAAGCTCAAAGAAGTGCTAAATTCATGCGTTTACTACCACAATTCTTGGAAAGGTGTCGGCATTCCGCTTTGTCCTACAACAATGAGATCCACGCTGCATTAGAAATTAAAGACGCTAACAGCGCAGACTGCTATCGTTGTTAGTTTGGATGCTGTGATACTTAGATCAGCAACACTGAGCTGGCTTCAACCTACCGCCGTGTACGTTTTGACAGAGACGATGATATTGTTCAAGTCTTCAAACAACGACAAATGGCAAAAGTACTAGAGATGAGCACTATGCACGATCCATTCTACCACCTCGTCCTTGTACACCACAAACTACTTGTGTAGCACCAGGACTGCACCTATCGACACTGAACCAGCCTCTTCTTTATCAACGCGAGAGAGTCGATGTAATGGTTTGAGTTCTTGCTATCATACCACACGCAAATGCGTACACAATAGTAAAATAGTGTAAGAACTACCCTTGGATCATCTTGTTGTTGCGTTCTATAGAGCTTTGGAGATATTGACCTGATTCCAACGAGTTTGACATTACGTGATACGTACAAACGACAATAAAACAGTGGCTGATCTCAGGCACGTAAGTGATTGTATACATTAGTAACAAAAAGAGACCGACCGTACATTACAAATATACATAAGATTATTCATAGCGAATCTCACATACGTTCATCAAAAACAGCACCTATTACTACTTCTCTCAATGCTGTAAAGTTGTAAAGAGGGTTTTTCTTAACTAGTACGATCGATATTGAGCACACTTATGCTTTAAACGCTGTCCTGCATTCATTACGAGTTCTTGTTTGCATTATTTCTTCTTAATAAATGCTGCCATATCGTACAGATCCCAGTCTCTACTCCCCAACTTGCTCTTTACCATTCAAATGTCTTCTACGTACTCAACCACACAAAGAGACCAAAACTCCAAGGTGACGTTTTCTTGTCGTCCGATAGACATGTAGAATAATATCTCATTGTTAGAAAGCGCAAAACACTTTTCATTTGACTTTAAACAAACGGCATTTGTAATGATGCGCCTTAGTGTGGATGCAGTAAGGCCACATTACAATGATAAACCATGTCGAAGTGGTCAGTCCTGGACTTTCTGGAGACTTGGGGTTGTTGCTATTCTTGGCGCTTTACTCGTGATAACACAAAGTACCAACTACACGCATCACTTTCATGCACACGTGGCCAAGCACTCTATTCTTCGCAACTTGCAAGCACAACCAGCACTTCGTTTTACTTTTGAACTCAAGCGTAAAGCTATGTACGTTCATGGTGCTTCGACGTTTGATGTTGTGGCAACTCCTGTATCATCCAATCGCCAAGATGATGATAGAAGTATGGCGTACAACGGAATCGCATCATTTGAGGAGGATGGAGACGTGCACGAGTATTCTCTCGTGGATGGCACAACGTACTATACACGACGTCGAAGTACCCAATCAGTGTTAAAGGCTGAAGCAGGATGTCTTCCTTCAGGCTCTGTCCCGCCTATTGAGAGTGTTTTGAATGCCATTGAGACCGCTGCGACCGCAACCTACTCTGATTCCTTGAACGATCTATGCCCATACGGATCCGTCATGGTGTTTCAATTTGCTGGTGAGGATTTTGTGTTGTGCTCGCGTCAATCGCGTTGGTCGTGGTTTCAAGAAGACAACGGCTTCCAGATTCTTGGCAAACACCTGAACATTCGTATCAAGTATGAGCAGTCTGTGCCAATCATTGTAGCTCCGCATGTATCAACAGAGGAATTGATTTCATGCGGAAAGGTACAGTTTGGTGATCGTATTACCCCGTCACTAACGTCGTTGCTAACTCGGTCGTTTTTTGAGTGGAGTCACCGTTCTCTTCGCGCTGAGATAGCTGAATTTGCCTTTTTCGACAAAGCTTTCGACAAAATTTTGGATATTGTCACGGATGATGATTGTCGCTGCAAGGGTGCTCCGCGACCGTGTGTGTTTGTTGCTGGTTTGAGCTCGGACGTCGACCTCGGTTTGACCGATAATGACCCACAATGTTACTTTGGAGAAAATATTAAGGAACACACGCCGTGCTGCTCAAGCAGAAAGTATCTTACATTGGCTACGAAGCAGAATAAATGGTATGACCCTGCATTTCAGCAACATACGATTGATTTACTGTTAAACGTGAGCAGTACGAGCGATTCCCGTCAGCGAATTGTCAAGGATACGATTATTATCGGTCACTCGATGGCGAACCTTCTCCTTGCTGGAGCTATTGCGGATGGAGCAGTTACGCTTGATGCTTCTACATCTTGGATAGCAGCAAGCGCTCCCATGATGGGCAGCATGGGCTCAAATTTTATTCAGGATATGTGTAATGGAGGGGAAAATGAGCTTGTGGACAGCATAATTGACTTGCTTGGAAAATGTCCAGTAAAAATTGGTGAGTTATCACTTGCCTATCAAGACTCTAACTTCTCGTCCCCATTGTTAGACAAAGCGTACAAGGCTGCACAAGCTGCTTATGCTGCGAATGTGGATGCTGTTATTTGTAGCAAGAGTTTTACGGGCCTAGTAACTGTGAGAGCAGCAGTTTATGCTCTTGCAGGTGCAGTCATTCCACATCATTCGAGACTGAATGATGGCATTGTGGAATATTCAAGTTGTACAATGGGTTTACCGCTTGAATCCTTTAGTGCATCATTTAAAAGTTCACGGTATATCACGGAACTTAATCACGTTGATACATCCTTTCGGAATGGGGATGGGCTTTTTAGTGATGCAAAAAAACCCTTAAGATGGCTTGAATGTCTATTGTAGGCCAAGGAATGGGTATGTCTAAATGACAAGCCTTTTGCCTTCTTTTTGTCTCCGTGATGACCCAAATTGTCGATATATTCGATTTTACCAGCTAAACTCAAAGTATTTTTAAGCATCCTTTACGCTGTGTTTGAATTTATTCATTGTAAAACTTACGTCCAATTATATAGAGACTGTATTAAAAAGTTCAGTCGTCATACGATTCTGGTTACAGTAATCACACAATTATGAAGGCAAATGCAGGTGTTGTCATTGTACGTTATAAACTCTATCAATACTGTAAGTATATCACAATAAATAATAATACTAATAGTCAATCTATTGTATGAATCCGTCTGCTATTGTGGTTCATTATTGTATCCAGATTGGACAGCGAGTGACACTCGTGCCATATGAAAAAGAGCATGTATGGAAATATTACAATTGGATGAAGGATTCATGGCTACAAGGTAGCACATAACACAATGCAATCACCATTAGTAGACTGGGATGATAATGAACCATTGAGTACATGAATGACATTTCTTAATTTGCAGAAATGACGGCATCGGAGCCATTATCGATCGAGGAAGAATTTGAGATGCAAAAGTCATGGAGAGAAGACGCCAAAAGTGCGAAATACACGACATGATAGCAATGAAGATTGTACGTTATTAGTCACAGTAGTAGTAGAATGACTAACGTTTTGTATGTGTGTATGTGACTATGGCAGAATGCACATTTATTGTCTTATCAAATGCAAAAGGTGATGATAATAAGCCAGAGGCTTCATATACTGACGAGAAAGCGATTGATCGTGAGTTCTTGTTGCTTCTAGTAGTGAAAAGAATGAAATGCTGTAGACTTATTGTCGACTGTTTGTAGGTATGGCTGGAGACGTGAATTTGTTTTTTAACGACTATGACGATCCCCACGCGTGTGAAGTGAACGTTATGATTGCAGAAGAAAAGTATCGTCGCAATGGCTTGGCGGAGGAAGCAGTAAAGCTTTTAATGGCTTATGGTATGACAATGTTTTATATGATGGAAAATGTCATTAAATTCTTTGACCTGAATAGAGATTTTTGGTCCTACAGCGACGTCAAAGCTTGACGTTACCCGATTCTTTTGCAAAATCATTGAAACGAACAGCGCTTCACTTCAGCTTTTTGAAAAGTACGTTTGGTGTGATTCGCGTTGTATTAATTTGTTGGTGTTATGGTTCTTACTAGATGTCTTTTTATCAACACAGGCTGGGGTATGTCAGGTATAATTATGTGCCTGCATTTAACCAGGTAGAAATGGAGCTGGTCATCAACGATAAGTAGACATTCTGCGCGATTACTCTATTATAAAGTCATTCAAATAGTGACCTTGTCACTTACTTATACTGTCCTCATTTAAACGTGCTTTACTTTACAGCCACCTTTTTGCTAATTCGAAATACATCGCTAAATTAAAGGCATGGCAAATATACGTATACAACAAATTTAATCTTGTCTTCTTATCCGAAACGTATACGAAAAATCCATGTGGTCCACCGCACTCAACTTCATCGTATAAATTTGACAAGCAAACATGAGCTCGTCAAATGTGGTGACACTTGACGTGGTATTTGGAGACGTTCTACAGGTTCTTATTCATCACAATTGGATTCAAGTAATTCTTTATTCTTTTCTTGTCATTTTGATGTAGTTTTATAAGTACATTGATGTCTGGATGTGGTATAATTTGCAGGTAAATGCAGTCGAAGCAGTTGCTGCAGTCAATAAGACGTTGCGATCACTTATTAAGCGTCAGAGACTAAAGCGATTGGCAGTTCGACGTAATGGATTTCCTCCAGCGTTCAGAATACGGTATTTGATACAGTAATCAGTTGATTACATCATCATTTTTGATCCTTTTTGTGGATATTTGGTGCCATGTCCTTTGATTCAGGTATTGGCTGGAAGCTGGAGACGTGAAAACATTAATGCAAGAGCTTGTATCGGATCAAATGAGCAATACACAACTGTATTTAAAGGTAGAGAGCGCTTACTTGATTTGCTGTGGGAATGATAGCATCAAGCTGATACAGATATTGGCAGATGGCTGGCATTAAAAGTCTCGAGGATCAAGCAACACTGAAGTTGACAGGCATGGAAGGAGAAATCAGTCGAGATATTGAACGTACATTTCCTGCTGATCCTTTCTTTTCGGATGAAGGTTGGTGAGCGTTTGTGGATAAATGAGGTAGTAGACTTTATATTGATGGAAAGCGTTGGTGGCGTTGTGCTGTCGTAGATGATGGAAGACGTTTGCTTGGCAATGTACTGAAGGCGGTCGCTGTTTATGCTGATGATATTGGATATTGCCAGGTGTGTTGAAGGTCTTGACTGATCTGGTACTTCGGCTTAACCTGACGGCTTTTGGTGTGAAATCAAGGGAATGAATTATGTTGTTGCTTCGCTTCTTCTCGTAATGAAAGATGTACGAGAGATTAAGACACTGGATCTTGATGGACTCTCAATGCAAGAAGCTGCATTCTGGGTAACGGCATCGTTCATCCGACGCAAGGGAATGGCAGACTTGTGGAAACACAAAATGCCAGGGTTCGTTCGTTCATTGTTGTTGCGAGCAAGAATAATTGCCGAGGTGGTATAATCATGTTTGTTTTGTTACAGGCTGTCGCAGTGCATTTATCTTTTCCAGGAACTTCTTAGGCTTCACTTTCACGACTTATCAACGCACTTTCGGCAGATTGGATTGCATTCCAGTATCTTAGTCACTCAGGTACCACCTAATCTGAGCATTAACACCATTCCATCTGAAGCTAGTGCTGACAAGGTCATGTTTATGATTCTTGTGTGCACAGTGGTTTGTGACAATATTTGCTCGTGTTCTACCCACTCAAGTACTTGTACGATTTTGGGATCTCTTTCTAATGGATGGATGGAAAGCTGTCTATCGCGTGGCCCTCGCTATCACTGAAGAGCTACGGCCAAAGTTTCTAGCAATGGTGAGATGAAAGCGCAATGTTTGCAAGTATTTTCTTTGCTTATGTTATTGAGATAGAAACGATTGATGTGTGCACATGGTAGGATCTGGAGCAATGCAGCGAGTATTTTCGCAAGCATCCTAAACTTGGTCTGGAAAAGACATTGAGTCCTGAGAAATTGCTGCATTGCGCTTTGAAATTCAAGGTAACGCGATCGAGCCTGAAACGATTGGAAGAAGAGCGGCATCTTGAGGTAAGATGGCAGATCTGAATACGGACGATTATCCTATTGTAAACTAAAATTTGCGCAATGTGTTCTGCGAAACTGTGATTAGTATCTTCGTCTTCGACTGCAGCAAACACCGCTCTCAGAAGAGCATCGTATGTTGTTTCCTACACTTGCGCATGAGGACGATGTCGGCGAGCAGAGAAAGTCTTTTAAATTGATCCGTGCAAAGTTGCGGCGCTTTGACACGGACGTAGCAAGCGATACGGTTTTTCTTCAACACAAAATCGAGGTCGCCGAGAAAGCGCATGCTCAGGCAATGTCGATTCGGTATGCCATTGCGTATGAATTGTCCGAGGCTTCGATTGAACTGGACGAGCGCATTGAGATAAAAGTTCGTTTACGATCAAAGTTTTGCAAGTTAATGGAAACTGCGGTTACAGAAGCCACCACAGCATCTACACGCTCTACCAGGTCAAGCTTTACAACTTGGATTAATCCGTTGGAATTTATCAATGAACGAATGGCTAGTTGCTTTGAGCGTCTACCCTTGCTTTCAAGCTTTACAGAAGACGAAGGCAAGTTCCATGCAAGTGACAATGACACAGACGACGAGGAGGATGAAGAAGCGCAACAAAACCTAAAACACCTTGATATGTTGGTTCCGCGGTTGGCTGCCGAACTGCGCCTGATACAGCGCTCATTGGCCTACAACCAACGCTTTCTGCGTCCGCTTTTACAGCGAACCCGACAGCTTCAGCGTGACGCTCAGCTTGCTCGTATTGAAGTCGAGGAAGCGCAATTGTTTAAGGACCGCTTGGCTGATCAGTTGCTACATATTATGCTGACTAGCGAGAAGCTGAAGAATAAACGAATGCAGGAGCTTTTTGCTGAGGTTGATGAGCACAACGAATGACAACTCGATAACGTTGAAAGTATATACTGTATTACTACCGGGTATGGAAGCAGGCACGCGCCACAGTAAAGAGCAAGAGACATGACAAGCACAACCTTGGCGGTCATTAATCGAACCGTCTCCTCTCTTTAAACGTGCTTGATTCCGTTCTGCTTTAGTTAGCCGGACATTGTCGCTCTCAAACTAGACCCTCTCTTTTGAGGAAGGAGGCTTATTCGTCCTCCGTCACGACATCAGCATCGGCATCAGCAACCTCATCCACCACAGCAAGCTCATCAGCAACAGGAGGTGCAATGCCTGGGCCCCACGATGGTAGCTCGGCAGTGAGACCACCAAGCGACGGAAAGGCATCCTTGTCACTCGCATTAAACTTCTTATTATTGCTGCTCATCTTCTTAGACGACGCAACCTTGACTGGAACAGCAGACTCAACGACAGCCTCTGCAGGCGTCTCTGCAGTCAGACGCGACGTCTGCTCGCTAAACCAAACCTTCTTGGCCTTCACGGCAGCCATCGACTCTGGGACGGCATCCACAGCAGCTGGCGGCAGCAGACCAACAGTGCTAAAAGCCTCCAGCTGCGCGAGCGGCAAGACAAGCTTCGTAGGCTTCTTGGACTTCTTGCTTTGACGACCCTTCTTTTCCTTCTTGCCGCCACCAAGCACTATAAAATCCTCTTCCTCGCGCTTTAGAGGTTTCATTCCATCAAGCTCAACAGTAACAGAAGAAGTTTCAGTAACCTTGCAATCACCTTCCTTTAGCTCCTTGGCATAGTTTGTTTCCAAAAACGTCACAAGAGCATCGCAAAGGTCCATCTCGTGTTGATACGGGTGAATCTTGGCCATTTCCTTTTCATAGTCGGCAAGTTTCGCTTCGTACTCGGCCTTGCGATTTTCTTCCTCCTTTTGACGTTCAAGCTCCTTCTTTCTGCGCACAAGACGAATATTATTGTAATACTTGTCATTCGCCTCCTTAAACTCCTTTCGTAGTGCTTTCAAGGCCGTGAATTTCTCATCCAGTTGTTCCTTAATGTCTTTCCGTTCTTTAGCAAGTATTGGGAATTGATCCTTCTTATTCTCTTCCTCATTCAAACGATAAAATTCATCCAGAATGTCCTTCTGTTGGTTCAATTTCTCTTGCACGACATCAATTTCTTGATTCTTTTCCAATTGAAGTGCACGAACTTGTTTCAACGTTTCATTCTGTTGCTCCACAAGCGTTTGATCACTTGAGAAGCCCTTGACCAGTACTTTTTGAGCCTGTAGTTGCTCAATCTCTTTAATCACACGTTTCTCTTCACTAAGTGACATGGAACACGTCTCTTGCTTGTGTTTCAACGCCGCAATAGCGTGTTCAAATTCTTCCTGGGACTTGAATTTAAAATTCATCCGTACATGACGTTGTTGTTTCAAGATTAAATCCTTTTCATCCCGTCCTTGACGTAAACGTGCTGTCAATTGATTACGTTGTAGAATCAAGAGCTCCTTTTCATTGCGTAAGGATGTAAATTTCGCCTTTGCCTGTTGAATTTGATGCCCAAATCTTCCTAATGTACGATTCATTTTCATTGCCTCTAATTCCATACGAATGACATTTGAACGAGCTTGTAATTTCTTAATTGTAGACTCGAGGATAGAAACGTTTGTTTCATAGGCGATTTTATCTGGTTTTGGTAAACGTTCAATGACTTGGGAGGGATCAATCTCGTCATTAGGAGCAGAAGAAGACGGAGAAGATGACAAAGTGTCGGTCATGGTCATTACAAGACGAGAAATCTCACAATGGTAGAGAGGTGGAGAGAGTGGAATTGACTGGTGTGCCACGTGGTATACAAGTACTGAGGTACGAGGAGAAAGTGTTGATATGTATATGGTATTAGTATACAAGGTTATGTAATTATAGAGTTACTGTTGTGTGATACGATTCAGCTTTTTATATTATTCTTGACAGTATATTCAAAAATATATAAACTTTGTTCTTGAGACGGTAGTTTTATATAATGAATGTGGTGCACCCGAGTGTAACATCCGAATTATCTAGATATTTCGATATTATCCAAGTTTTGTTCAGAAACGACAAAATGAACCAAGAGAAGAGGAGATTACGTGAATTACGTCGCTCTAATGGGTTCTCCCGGCGACGTCGACGCAGTTCGAGCAATGAAAATCCATCATCTACATTACAAGATACGAAGGATCAATCTGATACTGAAATTACTGCTGATTTTCGCTCCAAACGGGCATTGAAAACGGAAAAAAGCGACGAGATGAAACTCACGTTGAAAGAGCACGAGCGATTACGCGATCGTGAAGAACGTGACGCATTTGCTGAAAGATTACGTCAACGTGATGAAGATCGAACGAAACGGAAGCGCAAAGTGGAAGAAGTAGAAGCTTTAGACGTTCCAGAAGGTCTTACAAGTCAAGAGATTAAGCTATTGGCGACGAGAGGGGCAGTGGAAGACGGACAGAGGGATTTTAATGATAAACTAACGAGATTAAGACAAGTGAGTCGACAGGAATACCTTAAAAAGAGGGAAGAAAAAGAGCTGGAGCTATTGGAGTTTCAATTAAAAGACGAGGATGTCCTGTTTGAAGAGTCTCATCGATCCAGAAAAGAACATGAACAGCTTGAGCTTAAGAAAAGAATTTTAGAAACAGCTAAAGCTCGAGCAAAGAATAAAGAGGTAGATGGGTATCAGATTCCGGATTCCTATGATGAAGTCGATGATGAAGGCAACCGAATTCGCCAGAAAGAAGGGTTATTGACAGACCGGTATGAAGAAGAAGAGGTGTTTCATACTGAGCAGGAAATGTGGGAAGAGACACAGGTGAAGATGGCCACTAGTAGGTTTGGTCCCAAGGATAAACACAAGAGAAAAAAAAGCGGAAGAGCATGAGTTTGTATTTGATGATCAGATTGATTTTATCTCGCAGCAAATGCTCTCAGGACATCATGTGAGTGAGGAAGATGTCCAGGACGCGAGAAAAAAGATGGAGAAGGCCAAGCATTTGAGTATGCAGGAAGGTAGACGGCAGTTGCCCGTATATCCTTACAGAGAATCACTGCTCGAAGCGATTCGCAATTATCCTGTAGTTATTATTGAAGGAGAGACTGGGTCAGGTAAAACGACGCAGATCCCGCAATATTTGCACGAGGTGGGATACTCGGAGCTGGGTATTATTGGCTGTACGCAACCTCGACGGGTTGCGGCGATGAGTGTGGCAGCGCGCGTGGCGCAGGAAATGGATGTCAAGCTGGGCAATGAAGTAGGGTACTCGATCCGTTTTGAGGACTGCACTAGTGACAAGACGGTGATCAAGTATATGACGGACGGTATGCTGCTGCGTGAATTTTTGACCGAACCCGACCTCAAGTCGTACAGTGTCATGATTATAGATGAGGCGCACGAGCGTACTTTAAGTACGGATATCTTGTTTGGCCTTATCAAAGACATCGCGCGTTTCCGTGATGATATCAAGATCATTGTGGCTAGTGCGACGCTTGATGCAACCAAGTTTAGCGTCTACTTTGATGACGCCCCGATTTTTAAAATTCCTGGACGCATGTATCCTGTGGATGTTCTGTACACAAAGGCTCCCGAGGCTGACTACCTGGATGCTGCCATCGTGACGGTACTGCAGATTCACATCACCCAGCCACTTGGAGACATCCTTGTGTTTTTCACAGGTCAAGAAGAGATTGAAGCAGCTGAAGAAATTTTGCTGCAGCGCACTCGCGGTCTTGGTTCTCGAATACGAGAGTTGTTGATTCGGCCGATATACGCCACCTTGCCCTCTGAACGCCAGGCACAAGTGTTTGAACCTACACCAGAAAATGCTCGCAAAGTTGTGCTGAGTACGAATATTGCGGAGACGTCGCTCACTATTGCTGGTATTTGCTACGTAATCGATACGGGCTTTTGCAAACAGACCAACTACAATGCGCAAACGGGTATGGAATCCCTGCTGGTGGCTCCGGTATCCCAAGCTATGGCCAATCAACGTGCTGGTCGAGCAGGCCGTACAGCTCCAGGTAAATGTTTCCGTCTATACACTGCGTGGTCGTACAAGAATGAGCTGGATGAGAACACCGTGCCTGAAATCCAGCGCACGAACCTTGCAAGTGTAGTGCTGCTGATGAAGTCGTTGGGGATCAACGATCTACTTCATTTCGACTTCATGGACCCACCGCCAGAGAAAGCTCTTATTCGCTCATTGGAACAGCTTTATGCCCTTGGCGCTCTCAATGGTTTGGGTGAACTAACAAAGCTAGGGCGTCGTATGGCCGAGTTCCCACTCGACCCTATGATGTCAAAAGCGTTGCTCGCGTCAGAGAAGTTTGGCTGCGTTGAAGAAGTAATGACCGTTTGCGCCATGCTGAGTGTAAACAACTCGATCTTTTACCGCCCGAAGGACAAAGCAGTACATGCGGACAATGCTCGACTAAACTTTGCGCGAGGTGGAGGCGGTGATCACATTACGCTGATGAATGTGTACAACCAATGGGTTGAGACAAACTATTCCACTCAGTGGACGTACGAAAACTTTGTCATCATGCGATCGCTGAAGACTGCTCGTGACGTACGAGAGCAGCTTGAAGGTCTTTGTGATCGCGTGGAAATGGAGCGTACAAGCAACCGTAGTGATCATGAACCGATTCGCAAAGCCATATGCGCGGGCTACTTTTACAACACGGCTAAGCTGGACAGCTCTGGACACTACAAGACGGTGAAAAAGGCACAGTCCGTGCACATTCACCCAAGTTCGTGCCTAATTAAGCTCGAAGAAGTTCCGCGTTGGGTTGTGTATCATGAATTAGCCTTCACGACAAAAGAGTACATGCGTAATGTGGTTCCGATTAAATCTGAATGGCTGGTGGAACTTGCACCGCACTATTATAAAACCAAGGAAGTTGAGGACGCACGCACGAAGAAAATGCCCAAGGCTGTTGGTCGAGCAGGTTGAAGAGAAGAATCCAATTTGTCAGGTTATGGTCACCCACGAGAAGTGCTTGTTTAATGTAGAATCATCCAATGCAAATTGTGTTCAACACTGCGGCATTTGTCGAATGACCTCATTTGTCAGGCCGCATTAGCACAAATATCTTTTCAAGCACCACAACTCATGAGATGCAAACAGCAATCTTTCATTCAAAGCCTGCAATCGTTACCGAATCTATGCAGATATGTCTCATTTGTCGCTGCCCTGGCGCCAGGCATCAACGAGAGACTTGAAAATGCCGTCTGATATACGCTGCAGTTCGATTGGCGACCCGAATTCGGCCACTGCGCCCTTTTCCATCACAAGGATGCGGTCCGAGTCCAAGATTGTGTTGATACGGTGCGCGATTGTCAACGTTGTGCACTCGCGGAATTCGTCACGAATGCTTTGTTGAATGTGACGGTCCGTCTCTGGATCGATCGATGCAGTGGCCTCGTCCATCAGGATCACTCTTGACCGCTTCAAAAGTGCGCGTGCAATAGATAGCAGCTGACGCTCACCCACACTGAAATTGGAGCCGTTCTCATCCACGGTGTCGTCAAGCGAAGTGACAGCATTCTGCAGCAATGCACGCTTTACCGACGTCCAGATCTGATCGTCGGCAAACTGATCAAACGGGTCCAGGTTTGACCGTACGGTGCCCGAGAACAGCACAGGGTCTTGTGGGATGATAGCGATGTTGGCACGCAAGTCATGCAGACCAATCTTGCTGATGTCCACATCGTCAATTGTGATGAAGCCTGCGTCCAGTTCCACAAGACGCATGAGGCCCACAATCAAACTACTCTTGCCAGCACCCGTTCGGCCCACAATACCAATCTTCTCCTTTGCATTGACGCTAAAAGTTAGACCACGAAGAACGCGTGGAAGACCTGGACGGTAGCGTAGATGAACACGGTAGAACCTGATTGCACCAGCCGTAGGCCACTCGGAGGCTGGTTTCTGAGTAGCAGCGCTCTCCAAAATAGCTTCAGTCGGTATTTCCGTCCACACATCTTAATGCGCTCAGTGGACATCATTGCGTATGCTACATCTGTGTTCTGTGCAAATGGCTGTATAAGACGATGCACACGGTCTCTTTCTGTCATCTCGTGTACTTCGGATCTTCACGGTGTATTCAACTTGCAATTGTAGCTGTTGGTCTTCTCTTCGCTTCCCTGGAAGTGAAGCTAATTCTAATAGTATACTGACAAGATCACGGCACACAGCATTGGTCACACAGACAGCTCTCTGGCTATTACATCATGTGTCCTCCTTCATTCCAGACTGTTCAGCTGTAAGCTTTGTCTGATGAGTCCACATCGCTGTCGAACATTTTTCCTCTCATCATATAATTGGATGAAGCATCACAGCTTCAACATCTTGTTCATCTGCAGTAGCTTTTCACGTCTGTTCTGCACGCATATTGACATGTAAAGCCTTGAGTCGGAGCTGTCCTCCTCGAACTGTAGCTATTTTAGTCTGGTGGTCTGCAGTGCAACATCATTAAACACGGACACTGTGATGTGTTTGCTGCAAATAGTCGTGAAGCTGCAACTTTTACCGTGAGTTGCTGCTTTTTGCAGTGGTAACCTGGACGAGCAAGAACACATACGATCAAGCTTGCTCCTGTTGTCGTGAACGTAGATGACCGAAATTATTTGTCAAGCTTCTTAGTGGTCCGCGTGAGGCCAATCTGAGCACTATAGCCACAATCTAAAAAGGATTGAGATGAGGTAGACCGCAAGCAAACTCGTACAATTTCAATACTATACAAGATAACCAAACGAATGAGCAGTATTCAAAACGGCAGTGTATTTTTCAAAAAGACCTTATAGTCTGAGCTCTTCAGGAACTTTGACAATATCACTTGCAGGAGAATGGGCGGCATCACTTTTCGAAGCTTTAAGATTTTTTACCGATCTAACTTCTTCGAGGGATAAATTAGCTTTATCGCTTGCATCCGCAGAAGATCAGACGTTGTTCGGCGATGCAACTGGTACTGGTGCATGATTTTCAACACCATTAGTGATTGCAGTCTTAGGCGATGAGTCTCCTTCAGAGGTATGAGCTTTGACGATTGCATCCACAGAAGTTGGGACGGCGTTCTCCGATGCAACTGGTACTCGTGCATGATTTTCACCAACTTTAGTCATTGGTGCTACAGAAGTCTTAGGCAATGCGTCTCCTTCAGAGGTATGAGCTTTGACGTTTGCATCCACAGAAGTTGGGACGGTGTTCTCCAGTGCAGCTGGTCCTGGCGCATGAGCCTCAACGTTACTATTCGCAGGAGATGACGGGTCGTGAACATTGGCAGCTGGAGGAGAGTTCAATTCCTGATTCTGACCAGAAGTTTCATGAGGTTGACTCTTAGATGTAGTACTTGTGCCGGTACTAGTGTCGGAAGACTGATCTTTCGGAACGGAGGAGGTGCTTTTGGCAGAAACTTTTCCATTTTTCGAGCTCTTCAACAATTCTTCTACAGTAGGAGCTTTCTTAAATAGAGTCGATTCCTTGCCGAGAACTTTGTATGCCCAAGCAACAAACTTAACATATGATTTACGAATACGTTTTAAAATAAGACTTTCCTCCTTATTCAGACCCTTAGCCACACTCTCTAAGTGGGACGGTGAAAAAAATCGCTCTTCTTCCGTCGCCGAGTTCTTAATGTTAGAGCCGTCAGATTGACGCAGTGAGCGAGATAGTGACTCGGAGACGGACTCAGTAGTTGTGGTTGCTATGGGGTCTCCCACCGATGATCCATTACCTTGCAGTGCAACTAACGTCACAAGATAAAACCACACCACAAGACGCATGATAGTTGGTGACTTGACAATGGAACGTAGCGAGAAACTTGTAAACAGCGTAGAAAAAAGAGGAGTTCAGCTGTCACCAAAAGGTCTGCGACGTTGGAATGAGGTGGAGAAGAGCTTGTGTTGGAGCTGGTAAAAGCAAGAATGAGGTTTGCTTCTGAAAAGGTCTTGGAGCTTTTTCAATACAAATGCCGTAGGTCCATTGACACATTCGTAGTAGATATGCAGTTGCACGGACATCTAATCCTCGTGCAAAATTAGTGAAGCGACGTACGAGCAAACGTGAGAATGGATCATTTACGTCGCTGTGGTTACTTGCTACTAACCTGATTCTTAGTGACTTGCAACCACCTTGTGAACGTGCAAAGATCAGACAACCTACCGTTTTCACGGACGATGTATAGATTGTATCCACTGGCTCACTTCCAAGACAGCTGAGCAAAAGCTCAACTGCTTCTGTTTGTTCAACACGGATCAGATGAGCAGATCACCAGCTTGATGCTGATGACTGAGACAAGCAAGCGTGCAATCTATAGACAAAGACTAGAGGCTAGTCTAAGCTTTTAATGAATACGATTCGAGACAGCAGCAGCAGGCAACCAAAGTTGGTTGACACTGGTCGTAAGTACAGCAAACGTAGAGGTCGTTTGCAAACTGGTGCGTGGAGTCAGAAAACCACCGTCTACAATGGTTGGCAATACAATTATGCTTGCGTCTCTACTCTTCATGTTCATAATAAAGCATTCTTCTTTGTCAGGAGTAGACACAAGGTTGCTAGATCATTAGTATAAGGAAATAGTAACTCTGTTAAGTGCTAGCCAAGAGACGACGTACAGACTTACCGTTCTTCCTTATCGCTTGAACATGGACCTTACATTCTGAACAAGTCGTAATGGCTATTGCTTATCAGTACTTACATGCAAAGTAAATGACGTTTTTTTCTCGAGTCGATCGAATCTCCAGTTTGAACGACGACATGAGAATTGTCTAGCCACAGGGTCAACAAAATACAAAACGCAATATCGTTGCTCACAATCAGCCTTGAACCCACGCACACATCGATCAAAGAACAGCACGTGTTTTCAGGTCAGGTCATTGCAATTCGCCTTGTCGTAAAGCTCCTTGAAGCGATCGATATGAATACACATGTGGTCGCACCATACTCTCTTTTTACTTTCACGCTGGGACTCTTGCTCGCTTAAGCGAAGAAATCCTCTGTAGTGGACCGCAAAACACCGACGTGCGATAAAGTTCTTTATGGTCATTGTTCTTGAAAATTGCTGCCTTAGCACCCAAGTCGTGCTCAAGAAAACGTGAGATTCCCTGCGCAATGTCTCGACGACACGGGTCCAGTAGAAACGGAAAATCTTGAGTGTGAATAAATCATTTGTCATAGGGAGTGTTTGACCCATTCCTGTTTAAAACTTGATCGAGTTGTAGTTGCGACGTATCACATAAAGACGCAGCTTTATTCCATACAGTCATTCCTTATGAGATAACTAGATTGCGTTGAATCAGAATACTTCATTTCATTTCTCTTCTTGATACTCGACTCGTAGATAGCTTTTTGTCGCTATTAGTGACACGTTTAAACGCAAACTTCGTCTATCAAAGTTTGACCGTTAGATCAGGCACGTATAGGTCAAGCAATATATTGTAGCATAATCCATTCATTCTTTGGTTGATTTGTAGAGAAATGTAAGTGGCAAGCGTGCCAAGTAGCCCAAAAATGATTTCACAAGTCGACAGATGAATGTGCTTTAGGAGCTAGAATATTTATGGATATTCATAGCTTTGATCGCATTTTCCTTGCTCCAAGTCACTTCAGTGGCGGATCACCGGTCCGGACGTGGTCGAAGGAAGCCCGCCAGGACTGGAGTCCTTCACGAAAGCACCATGCTACCTAACGCAGACAACACTGACATTTACTAGAAATTTGACGGGACAGACCTTTGCTGAAGGTGGAGACCAACGAGCTTCATCTTGTTTACAGCCGCAATCTTAGATTCTACGGACTCGTCTTCGAAGCATATCCAAGTATCCACAGGATTTTCCTTCGCCCGAAACCGCAGCGTGATAGTCTGCTTCACTGACTGGTGTACGCTCATTGCAACAGGACTTCAGCAAACCTTTGATTGCTACCACTCACTGTCTTGAAACCAAGACTTGCACACGACCCCATGAATCAGGAATCCCACACCCTTTGGGCTCATCTGCACAGCCTCGCGATTATCAAGTGTACCCTGCATACCGGATCGCGACGCACCAGCTGAACTTCTGTCATACGGATCAGATTCACCGGAATGCTGTGCCCCACCGTGACCCGATGCGCCAGCAAAGGGGATCATACAACACCTTCTCTTCTAGAGCTGTCCGTTTGTTCAAGCATCAACTTGGGCGCAACTCATCAGCGACTGGGAAAGCACATGGATATGCCGCGGCAGTTGCAACGTTAAGAATGCGCAAGGTCGGCTCAAACGAAGCCATCCATCATGTCCTCTGCGGCAAACGGATGGCAAACGAGGCATGAAACGATGATGTGACCTACTGGACCAAGGCAGACGCTATCATCCACGGCGCCGCATTTTACATGCGTGGAGTGAGATGTTCATTAACTGATTGAGAGAGTCGACGGACACTTCGCCATGAGAAATGCCTTGACACAACGTCGTGTCCTTTGATGCTAGCATTCTTATTTCGGTAAGGCTATATACAAACCCGACTCTAGAGTCGATAGCCATTCTGAAGCACTCTCTCTCTCTCTCTTTTGTAATATGTCATTAAAAACAAAGGTTCGACCGATCATTTTCATTCATTCCAAAACGTTCATTATACGAAAGATGACACTAATCGTGCCAGCATGGACACAAGAATGGCAACCTCTTCTCAAGAAGTTGTACACCCATATTAACACCAATGGAAATCAAATTCGTATTGGCACAAACTGTCATGTGATCTCTACTGAAGATTTATTACTACGTGTCGAACGTATCGCGGAACAACTGTATTCGTGTCAATATGTTGACATTGTGCCGCAGGACGTTCAGATACAAACGCAAGCTCTTGCAGTCAAGTTTTGCTTCCATTCATTGGAAGATCGAGGTAATACATTGTTGACATTGGCATCAAAATGCGAGTACCAAGTGCTGAAACTTCTGTTGGAGTTGGCAACGTCTCCAACGACTGCAACAGACGCAGAAGTAGCGATGGATCAGGAATTATACAGGACATGGAAGACGGGGATAGAGCAAGAGAAAATAAGGGAGCTAGAAGAAAAAGTGATCAAGGAGAAACTTGTTGATGATTTATTGCAGATCGTTACTAGAGATGACTGGTCTGAAGCCTGGGATGATAGTGATGAGGACGAAAGTGAATGGGATATAAACAGCAATGATGAAACGACAGTGGAAAATGAATGTCAAACTGCCACCTGTCAACTTAATCACACGAGATCAAGTGAAAATATGGAGGAAGAAAGCATAGAAGAACAGAAAGTCGTGGTGGCTACGTCCATGGACTTTCGGATGGACAATGTGCTGGGTAAGTGTGAGACGAAGAGTGCAGAGCAGACTGCATGCCGACTAGAAACGAGAAGAAAACAAAAACAAGACGAGGTGAAAGAAATGACAATGGAAGATGAACTTCTGTGCCGCTATTGTCCGAAAGTTACGTTGCAGGATGAGCAGGATAGGGTAAATGATTCAGCGTGCACGTTGGACGTGAGACTGCTGGTGCCGTTTACATTGGAACGGCCGTGGCTAATGTGTAACGCAGTGGCAAAATGCGATGAGATTGATTCTCGTCGAATAATTTGCGAGAAAACTGTGGTGAGGATGGTGTTTGAGGCGTTAAATGGAGCTGACTCGCTTTTGTTTGAATTTCACCCGGTCATACCGAAACGTCCGATGTTCAGTGTTAACTTTCAGACCAAAGTAGCTGCAAGACGATCGTTAAATGTAGCGGTTGGACATCTTTCCCCCACGGCATTCGATCATGTAATAGGTGAATTTGCACAAGGAGCGTCAGAACTGCAGTTAGTTCGCAATCTGCTGGAGTTTATACGTCAAGCACGAGGCTCAGATAACCACTACCGATGTGTGACCTTGGAAGGCCTAGCCAATTCATTGTCGGTAATTATGAGAAAGTTGACTGGAAATATACGCATGGTAGAGCAGCAAACTATTGGCACAGTCAGCGAACAGGAGGGCCCGTGGTCAAGCGCTTATATGCGACAGCCAACTTTGCTTGGGATTTATGGAGGCCTCAAGGACATTTTAAAGATGGTGTCATGGTTAAAGTGGGTGTTGATGGAATCCTTTAGAGCATTATCCGATCGACAATGGCACGAGGTGAGGGGCGCTGAGCAAGCCAAGAGCGTACTGGATTCACTGTATCGAATGACAGAGGTGGAACACGTCAAAGGTGTGGGGGCCAATGCAAATATAAGCGTTGCGGGTGGATTATCACGGTCTGATGTGCTGTTAAATCTATTTATTGGGGCGCTGAATCCGTATTTGGTTCTGATCAATCGAATGGTGTTTGAAATTGGGCATTTTGAGACAATTCCTCTTGACGAAGAGTTGTTTTTCACCACGTCGGCATCACTGAACGTTGATACGTTGTCAACACGCTCACGATACCAAAGCATTCGCGATGATTTATTGTTGTTAGCTCCGTTTGAAGTAGACCAATCGCTCGTTCCAACCTTTCTTGAATCGAAGATTGACTTGATGAATAGAGCATTAGCAAGCCGACAAATTAAGAACTGCTTTTTGCGACAGCAGCAGTGGTCAACAGAAGAAATCTTGACGAAGCCTGAGCAGTCTCGGTCGTCGTTGTGCGAATTGCTGACAGCTGAACTCGAGACGATGGGGTGCAGACGTAACGGCGAGATTTGGTCGATGAATTTAGTACTTGGTAATGGCGACACCCTAAGGCCTTTACGTCAAGAAGTGCTGGAGTATGTACCATTTAGCAAGCTTTTGGAACGCTGTTTCACAAACCACCTCGAGACAAAGGTGCATTTTTTTGCTGTGTTTTGGTATTTGTGTTGGTGTTGTACCAATGCTAGTCCATTAATATTCTGTGATACAGTGTCGTGAGCTTAACAGAGAAATCACTGACATCTTTCGTGACAAAATGAACTATATGGATCACGTGGAAGCACTTCGGATGTTTGTGCTTATGGAGCAGGTAAACTGGTGGAAGGTGTGAAATTTTGCTGATTGATTTACTAAAGTGTGATGGTATGTATTGTAGCAAGACGTCTATAATGTATTCTCAGAGAAGCTAGTGACTCACATGGAAGAGAACCCTATTGCATGGGCTGACAGTGAAGCTCTGAACTCATTTCATCAGAGCGCAATCCAAGGCGTTTTTGAGAATAGCTTGCTATCATCTTCGCAGCGGCAAATCGGTGGTCGGTTGTGCGTTTGTGTTGACTTCGACCTGATAGATAGTACTCCCTGTGGCACAAGGATCGATATTGCGACGATGAGGTGCATGTACTTCACCTTTTCTGCGGAGCCGCCACTTCGTATTCTTTTTAGCACATCGATTATGCAGAAATACTCAAGGCTTGGAGTGTTTCTGGTCCAAGTGAAGGCAGTGGAGTCGGCGTTGATCAAGGCATGGCACCATCTTTTCGACAACTATCCGTCACACTTGCTAACGTGTCTCTTCTGACTGCAGTTCAAGTCAACACTTCGGCATCGTCAGTGTTACACAGTGTATGAGCTACTTGCCCGTGTTTCCAATCCTCGGTTTGTCTTTATTGTGACTGATTTCACGATGGTTTTCTATTAGAATCGAATGGAGCATGCGGCATGTACTCCTTCATGTTGCAGATATGCTGCATTACACAAAGAATTTGCTTAGCTATCTTACAAGTCAGGTAAGCACTTTTTCGTGACAAAACTTGCGAGATTGTTTCTATTTGACAATATGTGATTGAGTAGATATCAAGAGAACGATGGTCCAAGTATCGTCAGATCCTGCAATCGTCACGAAGCTTGGCAGAAGTAAGCAATTCAGTTTTTGTCTATTGCCACGTAGTTGTGCACGAACTGTGTTGGAATATGCCTTACTCACTGTTTCTATATGTATCAAAGATGGATGCTACGCACGAGGAGTACTTGGACCACCTACTTAGCCGCTTCTTTCTGCTGAGCAAGGTAAACGAACATTGCTCTGTACTTTTAAAAGTGGGAGAGCGTGTATTCAAATGATATCCGTGAATCAATATTGTAGCACGCGGCTGTGACTCAGCGTATCCTGACGACCTTCAACCACATCTTGCGCTATATTAGTCACGTTGATGAGTTTGTCAGTGTAGTAGACCGGAATACACAGGCGAGTTTTCCCGAGTACTGGAACGACAATGAGATGGAACAAGATGTTGTGAAATGCACTTGCAGTGTGCCAAGTGTCCTGTTGCTAGGACATCCTGAGTTTTGCGTCCTTCGCTCTGAAATGGCAAGAAACTTAAAGCAGTTTCAGCGGCAATCGCATTTCTTAGTAATTGTGCTGACATCCATGCAGAAGCATGGAGCGTCTCCTCACGTGAACGAAATTTTGACCCAGCTCAACTACAATTACTTTTACCACCATCAAGATCATCAACCCTAAAAGTGGCTACGACATCAGCAGCAACGCAAACACGAGAACCTCACACCAGCTTTTCTCTCAACTGATTTAAGCCTGTTCGTTCTCCACCAGCTCTGAAAACGTTTCGCGAATTTGATCGGTTGTTTGTCGTAGATGCTGTTGTAGTTCTGCTACATGGTCACATTTAGACGTTATTCGTCTTTTAGCGCGTGTCTTGGAAATTCACTGGATTTCAAGTTGCCTAGATGGAGCACGTTCAGTGGAAAATAGCGGTCTTCGTGTTGAGTAAGGTTGGTGGTGGCATTAGGACAATCGTTTTTTGAATAAGTACCGAGTCGCAAGGTCGGCTAATACGTATCGACCATGCAAGGGCTTACCAACTAAATTTTAAGCACCAAGCTGACGAAACAATGAATCATCTCGTTGCGTTTTGATGGAGTCATGTCCAGTTATTGCATAGAGGTCAACAATGTTTTGACTGATCACGATCGTGACAACATCAGCAAAACAGCTCTTCAGTTTCCTTGCACTCAGTGGTATAGTTTGAAATTGTAGTGCGATATCAGATTCAGCAGCGAGATAGTGCTGCCTTCTCGTTGTCTTTGATGCTTAAAGAGCTCCATGCACTAATGACAAGGCGGTGATCAAGTATATGACGGACGGTATGCTGCTGCATGAATTTTTGACCGAACCCGACCTCAAGTCGTACAGTGTCATGATTATTGATGAGGCGCACCAAGTTCAGCGTCTACTTTGATGACGCCCCGGTTTCAAAACTCCTGGACGCATGTATCCTGTGGATGTTGTGTACACAAAGGCTCCCGAGGCTGACTACCTGGATGCTGCCATCGTGACGGTACTGCAGATTCACATCACCCAGCCACTTGGAGATATCCTTGTGTTTTTCACAGGTCAAGAAGAGATTGAAGCAGCTGAAGAAATTTTGCTGCAGCGCACTCGCGGTCTTGGTTCTCGAATACGAGAGTTGTTGATTCGGCCGATATACGCCACCTTGCCCTCTGAACGCCAGGCACAAGTGTTTGAACCTACACCAGAAAATGCTCGCAAAGTTGTGCTGAGTACGAATATTGCGGAGACGTCGCTCACTATTGCTGGTATTTGCTACGTAATCGATACGGGCTTTTGCAAACAGACCAACTACAATGCGCAAACGGGTATGGAATCCCTGCTGGTGGCTCCGGTATCCCAAGCTATGGCCAATCAACGTGCTGGTCAAGCAGGCCGTACAGCTCCAGGTAAATGTTTCCGTCTATACACTGCGTGGTCGTACAAGAATGAGCTGGATGAGAACACCGTGCCTGAAATCCAGCGCACGAACCTTGCAAGTGTAGTGCTGCTGATGAAGTCGTTGGGGATCAACGATCTACTTCATTTCGACTTCATGGACCCACCGCCAGAGAAAGCTCTTATTCGCTCATTGGAACAGCTTTATGCCCTTGGCGCTCTCAATGGTTTGGGTGAACTAACAAAGCTAGGGCGTCGTATGGCCGAGTTCCCACTCGACCCTATGATGTCAAAAGCGTTGCTCGCGTCAGAGAAGTTTGGCTGCGTTGAAGAAGTAATGACCGTTTGCGCCATGCTGAGTGTAAACAACTCGATCTTTTACCGCCCGAAGGACAAAGCAGTACATGCGGACAATGCTCGGCGAGGTGGAGGCGGTGATCACATCACGCTGATGAATGTGTACAACCAATGGGTTGAGACAAACTATTCCACTCAGTGGACGTACGAAAACTTTGTCATCATGCGATCGCTGAAGACTGCTCGTGACGTACGAGAGCAGCTTGAAGGTCTTTGTGATCGCGTGGAAATGGAGCGTACAAGCAACCGTAGTGATCATGAACCGATTCGCAAAGCCATATGCGCGGGCTACTTTTACAACACGGCTAAGCTGGACAGCTGTGGACACTACAAGACGGTGAAAAAGGCACAGTCCGTGCACATTCACCCAAGTTCGTGCCTAATTAAGCTCGAAGAAGTTCCGCGTTGGGTTGTGTATCATGAATTAGCCTTCACGACAAAAGAGTACATGCGTAATGTGGTTCTGATTAAGTCTGAATGGCTGGTGGAACTTGCACCGCACTATTATAAAACCAAGGAAGTTGAGGACGCACGTACGAAGAAAATGCCCAAGGCTGTTGGTCGAGCAGGTTGAAGAGAAGAATCCAATTTGTCAGGTTATGGTCACCCACGAGAAGTGCTTGTTTAATGTAGAATCATCCAATGCAAATTGTGTTCAACACTGCGGCATTTGTCGAATGACCTCATTTGTCAGGCCGCATTAGCACAAATATCTTTTCAAGCACCACAACTCATGAGATGCAAACAGCAATCTTTCATTCAAAGCCTGCAATCGTTACCGAATCTATGCAGATATGTCTCATTTGTCGCTGCCCTGGCGCCAGGCATCAACGAGAGACTTGAAAATGCCGTCTGATATACGCTGCAGTTCGATTGGCGACCCGAATTCGGCCACTGCGCCCTTTTCCATCACAAGGATGCGGTCCGAGTCCAAGATTGTGTTGATACGGTGCGCGATTGTCAACGTTGTGCACTCGCGGAATTCGTCACGAATGCTTTGTTGAATGTGACGGTCCGTCTCTGGATCGATCGATGCAGTGGCCTCGTCCATCAGGATCACTCTCGACCGCTTCAAAAGTGCGCGTGCAATAGATAGCAGCTGACGCTCACCCACACTGAAATTGGAGCCGTTCTCATCCACGGTGTCGTCAAGCGAAGTGACAGCATTCTGCAGCAATGCACGCTTTACCGACGTCCAGATCTGATCGTCAGCAAACTGATTAAACGGGTCCAGGTTTGACCGTACGGTGCCCGAGAACAGCACAGGGTCTTGTGGGATGATAGCGATGTTGGCACGCAAGTCATGCAGACCAATCTTGCTGATGTCCACATCTTCAATTGTGATGAAGCCTGCGTCCAGTTCCACAAGACGCATGAGGCCCACAATCAAACTACTCTTGCCAGCACCCGTTCGGCCCACAATACCAATCTTCTCCTTTGCATTGACGCTAAAAGTTAGACCACGAAGAACGCGTGGAAGACCTGGACGGTAGCGTAGATGAACACGGTAGAACCTGATTGCACCAGCCGTAGGCCACTCGGAGGCTGGTTTCTGAGTAGCAGCGCTCTCCAAAATAGCTTCAGTCGGTATTTCCGTCCACACATCTTAATGCGCTCAGTGGACATCATTGCGTATGCTACATCTGTGTTCTGTGCAAATGGCTGTATAAGACGATGCACACGGTCTCTTCCTGTCATCTCGTGTACTTCGGATCTTCACGGTGTATTCAACTTGCAATTGTAGCTGTTGGTCTTCTCTTCGCTTCCCTGGAAGTGAAGCTAATTCTAATAGTATACTGACAAGATCACGGCACACAGCATTGGTCACACAGACAGCTCTCTGGCTATTACATCATGTGTCCTCCTTCATTCCAGACTGTTCAGCTGTAAGCTTTGTCTGATAAGTCCACATCGCTGTCGAACATTTTTTCCTCTCATCATATAATTGGATGAAGCATCACAGCTTCAACATCTTGTTCATCTGCAGTAGCTTTTCACGTCTGTTCTGCACGCATATTGACATGTAAAGCCTTGAGTCGGAGCTGTCCTCCTCGAACTGTAGCTATTTTAGTCTGGTGGTCTGTCTGCAGTGCAACATCATTAAACACGGACACTGTGATGTGTTTGCTGCAAATAGTCGTGAAGCTGCAACTTTTACCGTGAGTTGCTGCTTTTTGCAGTGGTAACCTGGACGAGCAAGAACACATACGATCAAGCTTGCTCCTGTTGTCGTGAACGTAGATGACTGAACTTATTTGTCAAGCTTCTTAGTGGTCCGCGTGAGGCCAATCTGAGCACTATAGCCACAATCTAAAAAGGATTGAGATGAGGTAGACCGCAAGCAGACTCGTACAATTTCAACACTATACAAGATAATCAAACGAATGAGCAGTATTCAAAACGGCAGTGTATTTTTCAAAAAGACCTTATAGTCTGAGCTCTTCAGGAACTTTGACAATGTCACTTGCAGGAGAATGGGCGGCATCACTTTTCGAAGCTTTAAGATTTTTTTACCGAATTAACTTCTTCGAGGGATAAATTAGCTTTATCGATTGCGTCCGCAAAAGATCAGACGTTGTTCGGCGATGCAGCTGGTCCTGTCCCATGAACTTTACCAACTCCAGTCAATGCCTCTAGTTGAGTCTTAGGCGCCAGAGGCATGAACTTTGACGCTTGCATCCGCAGAAGTTAGGACGGTGTTCGGCGGTGCAACTGGTCCTGGCGCATGATTTTCAACACCATTAGTGATTGCAGTCTTAGGCAATGCGTCTCCTTCAGAGGCATGAGCTTTGACGCTTGCGACCGCAGAAGTTGGGACGGCGTTCTCCAATGCAGCTAGTCCTGGCGCATTATTTTCACCACCTTCAGTCAATGCCTCTAGTTGAGGCTTAGGCGCTGCAGCTTCACCAACCTTAGCCAATGCCTCTAGTTGAGGCTTAGGCGCTGCAGCTTCACCAACCTTAGTCAATGCCTCTATTTGAGGCTTAGGCGCTGCAGCTTCACCAACTTTAGGCAATGCCTCTAGTTGAGGCTTAGGCGCTGCAGCTTCACCAACTTTAGGCAATGCCTCTAGTTGAGGCTTAGGCGCTGCAGGTTCACCAACTTTAGTCAATCCTCTAGTTGAGGCTTAGGCGCTGCAACTTCTCCAGAGGCAGGAGCTTTTACGAAAAGAATTCATAGTAGACTTAAGGGCTGCGTAAAAATCATAGGCCCGATCTTTGACATAAGATGGAACGGTGTTCAACGATGCAACTGGTCCTGCCGCATGAGCATTACCACCTTCAGTCAATGCCTCTAGTTGAGGCTTAGGCGCTGCAGCTTCACCAACTTTAGGCAATGCCTCTAGTTGAGGCTTAGGCGCTGCAGCTTCACCAACTTTAGGCAATGCCTCTAGTTGAGGCTTAGGCGCTGCAGGTTCACCAACTTTAGTCAATGCCTCTAGTTGAGGCTTAGGCGCTGCAGCTTCTCCAGAGGCAGGAGCTTTACGAAAAGAATTCATAGTAGACTTAAGGGCTGCGTAAAAATCATAGGCCCGATCTTTGACATAAGATGGAACGGTGTTCAACGATGCAACTGGTCCTGCCGCATGAGCATTACCACCTTCAGTCAATGCCTCTAGTTGAGGCTTAGGCGCTGCAGCTTCACCAACTTTAGGCAATGCCTCTAGTTGAGGCTTAGGCGCTGCAGCTTCACCAACTTTAGGCAATGCCTCTAGTTGAGGCTTAGGCGCTGCAGGTTCACCAACTTTAGTCAATGCCTCTAGTTGAGGCTTAGGCGCTGCAACTTCTCCAGAGGCAGGAGCTTTACGAAAAGAATTCATAGTAGACTTAAGGGCTGCGTAAAAATCATAGGCCCGATCTTTGACATAAGATGGAACGGTGTTCAACGATGCAACTGGTCCTGCCGCATGAGCATTACCACCTTCAGTCAATGCCTCTAGTTGAGGCTTAGGCGCTGCAGCGCCTTTAAAAGGCGCTGCCGCTAGATAAGCTTTAAATGCTGCGATAGAACTACGGACACGATCGTTGACGCTTGCATCCGCAGAAGTTAGGACGGTTTTCTCCGATGCAACTGGTCCTGGCGCATGATTTTCAACACCATTAGTGATTGCAGTCTTAGGCAATGCGTCTCCTTCAGAGGTATGAGCTTTGACGTTTGCATCCACAGAGGTTGGAACGGTGTTTAGCGATGTAGCTGGTCCTGGCGCATGAGCCTCAACGTTACTATTCGCAGGAGTTGACGGGTCGTGAACATTGGCAGCTGGACTAGAGTTCGGGTCCTTATTCTCACCAGAAGTTTCGTGATGTTGACTCTTTGTGAGTTCTTTCTTAGGAGATGTAGGAATTGTGCCGGTATTAGTGTCGGAAGACTGATCTTTCGGAACCGAAGAGGTGCTTTTGGCAGAAACTTTTCCATTTTTCGAGCTCTTCACCAATTCTTCTACAGTAGGAGCTTTCTTAAATAGAGTCGATTCCTTGCCGAGAACTTTGTATGCCCAAGCAACAAACTTAACATATGCTTCACGAACACGTTTTGGAATAAAACCTCCCTCCTTACTCAGACCCTTAGCCACACTCTCTAGTTGGGACGGTGAAAAAAATCGCTCTTCTTCCGTCGCCGAGTTCTTAATGTAAGGGCCGTCAGATTGACGCAGCGAGCGAGATGGTGACTCAGATACGGACTCAGTAGTTGTGGTCGCTATGGGGTCTCCCACCGATAACCCATTACCTTGCAGTGAAACTAACGTCACAAGATAAAACCACACCACAAGACGCATGATAGTTGGTGACTTGACAATGGAACGTAGCGGAAAAGTTGTAAACAGCGTAGAAAAAAGAGGTTCAGCGGTCACCAAAAGGTCTGTGACGTTAGAATGAGGCGGAAAAGAGCTTGTGTTGGAGCTGGTAAAAGCAAGAATGAGGTTTGCTTCTGAAAAGGTCTTGGAGCTTTTTCAATACAAATGCCGTAGGTCCATTGACACATTCGTAGTAGATATGCAGTTGCACGGACATCTAATCCTCGTGCAAAATTAGTGAAGCGACGTACGAGCAAACGTGAGAATGGATCATTTACGTCGCTGTGTTTACTTACTACTAACCTGATTCTTAGTGGCTTGCAACCACCTTGTGAACGTGCAAAGATCAGACAACCTACCGTTTTCACGGACGATGTATAGATTGTATCCACTGGCTCATTTTCAAGACAGCTGAGCAAAAGCTCAACTGCTTCTGTTTGTTCAACACGGATCAGATGAGCAGATCGCCAGCTTGATGCTGGTGACTGAGACAAGCAAGCGTGCAATCTATAGACAAAGACTAGAGGCTAGTCTAAGCTTTTAATGAATACGATTTGAGACAGCAGCAGGCAACCAAAGTTGGTTGACACTGGTCGTAAGTACAGCAAACGTAGAGGTCGTTTGCAAACTGGTGCGTGGAGTCAGAAAACCACCGTCCACAACGGTTGGCAATACAATCATGCTTGCGTCTCTACTCTTCATGTTCATAATAAAGCATTCTTCTTTGTCAGGAGTAGGTAGACAAAAAGTTCAACATATATATATATATATTAAAATAATTGGCCTATACTAGCTATTGTAGCAACAAATCTGCCTGCTCATGTACTTGCTTCCTTCGCATTAAATGACCAATAGAATAAACTAGCAATGACCCGTGCGTTGATTAAATGCAACGGAAGTGTGTACAGCCGCCTAAGCGTTCTCAGAACGTGCTTGGATATAGAAAAAGGTGATCCTATCAGTTTCTTATCAAATTTCCCTCCAGCAGATGTCAGATTTTTGTGGAGAAACATTTCAGCCTTATGTCTTTGCTATGATTAATCATGAGAACCAGTGAGAAACTTACTGAAGGGCTTAGGAATAAACCATTTTATGGACACATATGAAAGTCAGCAAACTAGTCTGGCACCACCATCTCGAATTTTATCGTCAGACCAGCTTACTGTCTTTTTTATATATCTGTTTTTAAAAATTCCTGATGATGGTGTCAGATCAGTTCTTCTTCGTTATTTTAAAATGAATAAAGCTAATCTATTAGATTTAATTGGTGTAAAAGAGACAACAGAGGTTCTGACAAGGAAAGAGTAAAATTACACGAATGAGTTGCGGGATGAATGAACATTAACACAAGAAGAGCAACTTAGCTTATGTATTATATTATTGCGATTTTTGAACCCATGTAATAGATTATTCGTATAAGGGATTAAACTCTCTCGTATAGAATTTACTGTAGAAACAGTTGCCAACAACCTCGAGACGTAGTGCGAGCCAGCAATTAACTGAAAAGTTTAAGAAATACGCGCGTTGGTTTGTGTCCAAAAGATGATAGTTGTGCATGATGAAACTGTTTTCCACTCCAAATGCACGGATCGTTGAGAGACCGTCCAGGGTTTCCGACAACAATGCAAAAAGCGGAGAACGACTGATAGAATCAAGACGCTGCAGCTCACGAGAAGTCTTGATGAAATACCGCTGCGAAGTGAAGTATCCAACGAGAACGGGTGCCAGAATGATCATGAACATTGGCATAACGTAAGAAATTGTCACTAGGGTGATCACGACAGACGCAATAGTGCTGAGAAGACCCACGATTGTACCGGGGATGGATTCGTCCAGTGTGTATATGTCTTTCGACATGCGATTCACAATGCGACCCAGTGGCGTTGTGTCAAAGAACGACGTCGGGGCACGCAATGTTTGGGTGAGCAGCTTACTGAAGAGCAAGCGACTGGCGTGAAGAGAGCCCACGTAAAGAAGAATTACGCGAGCGAACAGCACCATAGCATACGCCACGTTAATCAGCATATACACGTACACATAGTACATCTGTGAGTCCGGGTACTTAGATGCCTCCTCCGACCAGTACGATATCCAAAACGTTGCCAACAATGTCAAACATTGAGCAGAAAAAAAGCCCAGCACAACCACGAAGGCCATACACATGCCTCCAAACGCCCTGATCCATACACCGTAGACTGACCACGATACATTGCCCACAGAACGGTCCTCTTTGACCATCAGCTGGCCATCATTTGCTATAATAGCCTGGCTGTCATCGCTTTTACTGGACGATGCGCGAGACAGGCGGCGCTGCATACGGCTACCACTCGACTTCCGGTGACTTGGGGTCGCATAAGTCTCCTCATTACTCAACTCCACCAACTCGTCCTCCCGAAGTATAGCTGCTGGTGCTTTCTCATCGTTGTCCTCCTTCTCGCTCTTTACGTAGTTTGATACCATCTGAGTTAGCAAGCTTTTCTTTGCCATTAGCTTATTGTACGACCCGTGCTCTGCGATTCTGCCGTCGGCAATTACGATGATGTCATCGCACTGGTTGACGAAGCTCAGCGAGTGCGTCACGAGCACCACCAGTTTGTCCTTCAGGGTCTTCTTGATGCACTCGTTGAAGATATCAGCTCCCACATGGCTATCGACCGCCGACAAAATGTCATCCAGTAGGTAAATATCAGCATCCTGATACACCGCGCGGGCAATGGCCACACGCGTGCGCTGTCCGCCACTGAGGTTAATGCCCTTCTCACCGATCTCTGTGAATCACCGAGAGCTTACTTTCGTGTCCAAATCTGGCGCTTAAGTATGGATATAACACTTATCAGGATTTGTAATATTTTACGTGGTTGTATCCTGGGTAACGCCCTCCCGCTAGCTGATGCTAGCTCAGGCCTTCGACAGGTGCTTTGCGGCATCCGTTAGTTTGGACGGGTTTCCTCTCCCTTTACACACCCTCTCTTGTCCTTTCTTCCCAGCCGCCAGCCAAGCCGCTGCGATGTACGCCGCCACGCTGGAAGCCCCGAAGCCCCGAAGTCATGGCATCCCTGCTTTGGTACGCTCGTGTCATTTTTTGTTCACGGTGCAAGCAACGAGGACTTTTCTGGGCCCTGTTGACAAGATAGACGTCCAAGGGATCAAGCTAGAAATCACGCTGGACACCGCCGTCGACTGGACCCAGACCTGTACCTCCTTCGCCAATGTGCACAGGATCGTGCAGTCTGGACGGCCTTCGGTGCGGCGCTTATAGCGCGCGCTGCCTACTGGACCCTGGCGAGAGTAGAGAGAAATGTAGAGACGGAGAGATAACATGACGCATGCGGAAGTTGAGCCACTTCGGTGGTAAGACGGCTCGCGTAACGCGTTCACATATATACAGGCACTGAGCTGTGTATTTACTCTTACAATGCGCTAACGCTTAGGTGCTTGGAAGACTTGAAACGGATGCTTAATCCTAAAGCCATGTAATGTATGAAAGTAAGCGATGCGTATAATGCAAATGCTTGTTTCGATAGCCGTTAACTCACTTGTGACGATACCTTGCCCAATAAGCTAACCTCAAAACATTTTGAGTGATGGATGACATCCAAACTCGAGCAATAGATAGATAGATATACCCCATCACTTTACAATTGTTCTCAACCTTTATTTGCGTCGTTTAGTGCCGAACCTTCCTCGATCTTGGCCAGGCTAGAAATAGAACTGAGTAAAGTTGTTTTTCATGTGCAAGTTTTACGTTGAAGTACTGAGCTTAACGGTGTGAAAGCAACGGGTCTTGATCAATGTAGGTTTGAAATAATTGAGCTGACTTACATCCTGCATTGTTGCATTTGTGTAGCGTCATCCCATTAACCACAAAAATATATCATGTTCTTAGGAGGAGGTTTCTATGCGATGAGAATCACAAAGAAATAGCTTGTCTGCATGATAGTAATGTTCACGACGATTAACCTCCTGATGCTCACAACATTCGTCGAAAACCATTCCAATACTAAACAACAAGATATGACCTCGTAATATGGACACCACTTTTACGTTCTAAAACATGAGGCTTCCACTAGATCCAGCATCATCTTGTCAAACGTAGCACCGCCTGTTTGCAGCTTTCCATGTCCAATCATCAACGAGTGCATAAAACGCAAGAGCATTCGTGCAAGTATGGTGGTCCATTAGGAGAGATGTTTGAATGACTAACTTGATATAGCAGTGTATGTATGAGACGAGAGCATCATCCCTAGCAAACGATAACGACATGATCGCCACATGAAAAACAATGATACAAAGGGTGTTAGTCTCAACTTCAATTAGACGATAAGTGTATGGAACCCAACTTGTTAGTATTTGACAATGCAATGCCACCATCGTCATGACTTTCTGACCAACACGTTACCTCTAAAACGAGACAATGACCCGTTGCTACCAACAATTCGTTGGTCTGTCTCATTTTCTAATTTCGACTATAGAGAGCAAGAAGAACTTGGATACAAAAACGTGTTTGGTGAGTCACGTGCATTCACTAGATCAACTCAATATGAATCCTTCCAGTCAACAAAAGAATGAGGAACATAAGCCGCTATTGCAAGGCGCAACGTTTATACACGATGATACTGCCATGTCTGACAAGCACTCGACCACGTACACGCCCGGTCTAGGTGATGGCTATCCGTCACAACAGTCGAACTGTCTTGGTAATGTTTTCTTTTCATGGGTCACGCCTCTTATGAAGCTCGGTAATGAGCGGCCGCTTGAAAGCGATGATTTGTTCCAACTGGACCCACCCAATCGTGCTGCTAACGTGTCTAAGAGATTCACTAAAGAGTGGGAGCAGCAAAAACGCTTCAGTAAGCCCAGCCTCGTATGGGCACTTGCCAAGGCCTTTGGTTTCAGGTTTATGGTAGCTGGTGTACTCAAGCTCATCCATGACTCGTTGCAGTTTGTCGGACCCATGATCATCAAGGACATCATTGCATACCTGAGCGATCCAACGGCACCATTGAGTGAAGGTCTCATATATACTGGTGTGATCTTCGTGTCGGGTATGGTGCAGTCCTTTGCACTGCGTCAATACTTCTTCTGCTGCTACGAGACGGGTTTGCAGCTTCGAAGCGCCATTGTGACGGCCGTATTCGAAAAGTCGATGGTGCTGTCAACTGCAGCTCGTCAGCAGCGCACGTCGGGGGAGATCACAAATCTCATGTCCATCGACGCACAGCGGCTCCAGGATATGACGCCGTACCTGCATGCCGTATGGTACGCGGTGTTCCAGATCATCGTGTCGTGTTGTCTGCTGTGGCAGCAGATCGGCATAGCGACGTTTGCAGGTGTGGTGGTAATTCTACTGATTGTCCCGCTCATGACGGTCATTTCGAAGATTATGCGCAAGTTACAGCAGCGCCTGATGGCAGTCAAGGACGAACGCATCAAGGTGTGTGCGGAAGTGCTATCAAGCATTAAGGTTGTGAAGCTTAAAGCGTGGGAGAAGCTGTTCGGTCAGCGTGTGATGAAGATTCGCGACGAGGAGTTGGCACGGCTGAGAACATACGTGATTGCGCGCAGCGGATCAGACACGATATTTAGCTTCGTACCATCGCTCGTGACGGTCGTGTCATTCAGCGCGTACGTGATGCTGGGATACACACTGGACGTGGGCACGGCATTGACGAGCCTGGCGCTGTTTAACATTCTGCGCTTTCCGCTCTTCATGCTGCCACAGGTTCTTAACAACGTGGTGGAGGCGAGCGTAAGTTTCGACCGTTTGCACAGCTTTTTCTTGGCGGAGGAGCGCACGAAGGTGGGCAAGGGTGATTTGACGGAGGTTGGCATCTTTGTGCAGGATGCTGATTTTAAATGGGACATAGCTCTGTCAGCTGACAGAGACAAAAGGGATGGCGACAGCGAGGAGCATCAGCAAGATCTGACGATACCTGCTGCTGAGGGCCCGACACTCCGCAGTGTTAATTTTGCTGCGAGGATGAGCGAGTTGCACGCAATTGTAGGGCACGTCGGCAGTGGTAAATCGACTCTGCTGGCAGGCATTCTAGGCGACGCTTGTTGCAGCGCCGGCTCGGTAGCAGTTAGAGGCCGTGTAGCGTACGTTTCACAACAGCCATTCATCCAGAACGCAACAGTACGCGACAACATCACATTTGGGCTTGAATTTGATGCTGAAAAGTATAAAGAGGCTTTGCGTGTGAGCTCGTTAAAGAAGGATTTGCGTATTCTGACCGCGGGTGATCTCACAGAGATCGGTGAGAAGGGCATTAACCTCAGTGGCGGACAGCGCACGCGTGTGGCCATTGCCCGCGCGGTGTATCAGGATGCTGATATTTACCTACTGGATGACATTTTGTCGGCGGTCGATAGCCATGTGGGAGCTGATATCTTCAACGAGTGCATCAAGAAGACCCTGAAGGACAAACTGGTGGTGCTCGTGACGCACTCGCTGAGCTTCGTCAACCAGTGCGATGACATCATCGTAATTGCCGACGGCAGAATCGCAGAGCACGGGTCGTACAATAAGCTAATGGCAAAGAAAAGCTTGCTAACTCAGATGGTATCAAACTACGTAAAGAGCGAGAAGGAGGACAACGATGAGAAAGCACCAGCAGCTATACTTCGGGAGGACGAGTTGGTGGAGTTGAGTAATGAGGAGACTTATGCGACCCCAAGTCACCGGAAGTCGAGTGGTAGCCGTATGCAGCGCCGCCTGTCTCGCGCATCGTCCAGTAAAAGCGATGACAGCCAGGCTATTATAGCAAATGATGGCCAGCTGATGGTCAAAGAGGACCGTTCTGTGGGCAATGTATCGTGGTCAGTCTACGGTGTATGGATCAGGGCGTTTGGAGGCATGTGTATGGCCTTCGTGGTTGTGCTGGGCTTTTTTTCTGCTCAATGTTTGACATTGTTGGCAACGTTTTGGATATCGTACTGGTCGGAGGAGGCATCTAAGTACCCGGACTCACAGATGTACTATGTGTACGTGTATATGCTGATTAACGTGGCGTATGCTATGGTGCTGTTCGCTCGCGTAATTCTTCTTTACGTGGGCTCTCTTCACGCCAGTCGCTTGCTCTTCAGTAAGCTGCTCACCCAAACATTGCGTGCCCCGACGTCGTTCTTTGACACAACGCCACTGGGTCGCATTGTGAATCGCATGTCGAAAGACATATACACACTGGACGAATCCATCCCCGGTACAATCGTGGGTCTTCTCAGCACTATTGCGTCTGTCGTGATCACCCTAGTGACAATTTCTTACGTTATGCCAATGTTCATGATCATTCTGGCACCCGTTCTCGTTGGATACTTCACTTCGCAGCGGTATTTCATCAAGACTTCTCGTGAGCTGCAGCGTCTTGATTCTATCAGTCGTTCTCCGCTTTTTGCATTGTTGTCGGAAACCCTGGACGGTCTCTCAACGATCCGTGCGTTTGGAGTGGAAAACAGTTTCATCATGCACAACTATCATCTTTTGGACACAAACCAACGCGCGTATTTCTTAAACTTTTCAGTTAATTGCTGGCTCGCACTACGTCTCGAGTTTGTTGGCACGTGCATTGCTACTGCTGCTACATTTGCAGCAGTCCTTGCGCACAACTCGAATCCCACTAAGGACACTGCATTTGCTGGCATTGTAGGCGTCTCTCTGACATATGCGTTCACTATAACTCAACCGCTAAACTGGACGGTGCGCATGATTAGTCAGTTGCAAACGCAAATGGTGTCCATTGAGCGTATTCAGACGTACATGGAAATGCCGACTGAAGCTATTTTGGAGAGCGCTGCTACTCAGAAACCAGCCTCCGAGTGGCCTACGGCTGGTGCAATCAGGTTCTACCGTGTTCATCTACGCTACCGTCCAGGTCTTCCACGCGTTCTTCGTGGTCTAACTTTTAGCGTCAATGCAAAGGAGAAGATTGGTATTGTGGGCCGAACGGGTGCTGGCAAGAGTAGTTTGATTGTGGGCCTCATGCGTCTTGTGGAACTGGACGCAGGCTTCATCACAATTGACGATGTGGACATCAGCAAGATTGGTCTGCATGACTTGCGTGCCAACATCGCTATCATCCCACAAGACCCTGTGCTGTTCTCGGGCACCGTACGGTCAAACCTGGACCCGTTTAATCAGTTTGCTGACGATCAGATCTGGACGTCGGTAAAGCGTGCATTGCTGCAGAATGCTGTCACTTCGCTTGACGACACCGTGGATGAGAACGGCTCCAATTTCAGTGTGGGTGAGCGTCAGCTGCTATCTATTGCACGCGCACTTTTGAAGCGGTCGAGAGTGATCCTGATGGACGAGGCCACTGCATCGATCGATCCAGAGACGGACCGTCACATTCAACAAAGCATTCGTGACGAATTCCGCGAGTGCACAACGTTGACAATCGCGCACCGTATCAACACAATCTTGGACTCGGACCGCATCCTTGTGATGGAAAAGGGCGCAGTGGCCGAATTCGGGTCGCCAATCGAACTGCAGCGTATACCAGACGGCATTTTCAAGTCTCTCGTTGATGCCTGGCGCCAGGGCAGCGACAAATGAGACATATCTGCAAAGATTCGGTAACGATTGCAGGCTTTGAATGAAAGATTGCTGTTTGCATCTCATGAGTTGTGGTGCTTGAAAAGATATTTGTGCTAATGCGGCCTGACAAATGAGGTCATTCGACAAATGCAGCAGTGTTGATCACAATTTGCATTGGATGATTCTACATTAAACAAGCACTTCTCGTGGGTGACCATAACCTGACAAATTTGATTCTTCTCTTCAACCTGCTCGACCAACAGCCTTGGGCATTTTCTTCGTGCGTGCGTCCTCAACTTCCTTGGTTTTATAATAGTGCGGTGCAAGTTCCACCAGCCATTCAGACTTAATCGGAACCACATTACGCATGTACTCTTTTGTCGTGAAGGCTAATTCATGATACACAACCCAACGCGGAACTTCTTCGAGCTTAATTAGGCACGAACTTGGGTGAATGTGCACGGACTGTGCCTTTTTCACCGTCTTGTAGTGTCCACAGCTGTCCAGCTTAGCCGTGTTGTAAAAGTAGCCCGCGCATATGGCTTTGCGAATCGGTTCATGATCACTACGGTTGCTTGTACGCTCCATTTCCACGCGATCACAAAGACCTTCAAGCTGCTCTCGTACGTCACGAGCAGTCTTCAGCGATCGCATGATGACAAAGTTTTCGTACGTCCACTGAGTGGAATAGTTTGTCTCAACCCATTGGTTGTACACATTCATCAGCGTGATGTGATCACCGCCTCCACCTCGCCGAGCATTGTCCGCATGTACTGCTTTGTCCTTCGGGCGGTAAAAGATCGAGTTGTTTACACTCAGCATGGCGCAAACGGTCATTACTTCTTCAACGCAGCCAAACTTCTCTGACGCGAGCAACGCTTTTGACATCATAGGGTCGAGTGGAAACTCGGCCATACGACGCCCTAGCTTTGTTAGTTCACCCAAACCATTGAGAGCGCCAAGGGCATAAAGCTGTTCCAATGAGCGAATAAGAGCTTTCTCTGGCGGTGGGTCCATGAAGTCGAAATGAAGTAGATCGTTGATCCCCAACGACTTCATCAGCAGCACTACACTTGCAAGGTTCGTGCGCTGGATTTCAGGCACGGTGTTCTCATCCAGCTCATTCTTGTACGACCACGCAGTGTATAGACGGAAACATTTACCTGGAGCTGTACGGCCTGCTCGACCAGCACGTTGATTGGCCATAGCTTGGGATACCGGAGCCACCAGCAGGGATTCCATACCCGTTTGCGCATTGTAGTTGGTCTGTTTGCAAAAGCCCGTATCGATTACGTAGCAAATACCAGCAATAGTGAGCGACGTCTCCGCAATATTCGTACTCAGCACAACTTTGCGAGCATTTTCTGGTGTAGGTTCAAACACTTGTGCCTGGCGTTCAGAGGGCAAGGTGGCGTATATCGGCCGAATCAACAACTCTCGTATTCGAGTCCCAAGACCGCGAGTGCGCTGCAGCAAAATTTCTTCAGCTGCTTCAATCTCTTCTTGACCTGTGAAAAACACAAGGATGTCTCCAAGTGGCTGGGTGATGTGAATCTGCAGTACCGTCACGATGGCAGCATCCAGGTAGTCAGCCTCGGGAGCCTTTGTGTACACAACATCCACAGGATACATGCGTCCAGGAGTTTTGAAACCGGGGCGTCATCAAAGTAGACGCTGAACTTGGTGCGCCTCATCAATAATCATGACACTGTACGACTTGAGGTCGGGTTCGGTCAAAAATTCATGCAGCAGCATACCGTCCGTCATATACTTGATCACCGCCTTGTCATTAGTGCATGGAGCTCTTTAAGCATCAAAGACAACGAGAAGGCAGCACTATCTCGCTGCTGAATCTGATATCGCACTACAATTTCAAACTATACCACTGAGTGCAAGGAAACTGAAGAGCTGTTTTGCTGATGTTGTCACGATCGTGATCAGGCAAAACATTGTTGACCTCTATGCAATAACTGGACATGACTCCATCAAAACGCAACGAGATGATTCATTGTTTCGTCAGCTTGGTGCTTGAAATTTAGTTGGTAAGCCCTTGCATGGTCGATACGTATTAGCCGACCTTGCGACTCGGTACTTATTCAAAAAACGATTGTCCTAATGCCACCACCAACCTTATTCAACACGAAGACCGCTATTTTCCACTGAACGTGCTCCATCGAGACAACTTGAAATCCAGTGAATTTCCAAGACACGCGCTAAAAGACGAATAACGTCTAAATGTGACCATGTAGCAGAACTACAACAGCATCTACGACAAACAACCGATCAAATTCGCGAAACGTTTTCAGAGCTGGTGGAGAACGAACAGGCTTAAATCAGTTGAGAGAAAAGCTGGTGTGAGGTTCTCGTGTTTGCGTTGCTGCTGATGTCGTAGCCACTTTTAGGGTTGATGATCTTGATGGTGGTAAAAGTAATTGTAGTTGAGCTGGGTCAAAATTTCGTTCACGTGAGGAGACGCTCCATGCTTTTGCATGGATGTCAGCACAATTACTAAGAAATGCGATTGCCGCTGAAACTGCTTTAAGTTTCTTGCCATTTCAGAGCGAAGGACGCAAAACTCAGGATGTCCTAGCAACAGGACACTTGGCACACTGCAAGTGCATTTCACAACATCTTGCTCCATCTCATTGTCGTTCCAGTACTCGGGAAAACTCGCCTGTGTATTCCGGTCTACTACACTGACAAACTCATCAACGTGACTAATATAGCGCAAGATGTGGTTGAAGGTCGTCAGGATACGCTGAGTCACAGCCGCGTGCTACAATATTGATTCACGGATATCATTTGAATACACGCTCTCCCACTTTTAAAAGTACAGAGCAATGTTCGTTTACCTTGCTCAGCAGAAAGAAGCGGCTAAGTAGGTGGTCCAAGTACTCCTCGTGCGTAGCATCCATCTTTGATACATATAGAAACAGTGAGTAAGGCATATTCCAACACAGTTCGTGCACAACTACGTGGCAATAGACAAAAACTGAATTGCTTACTTCTGCCAAGCTTCGTGACGATTGCAGGATCTGACGATACTTGGACCATCGTTCTCTTGATATCTACTCAATCACATATTGTCAAATAGAAACAATCTCGCAAGTTTTGTCACGAAAAAGTGCTTACCTGACTTGTAAGATAGCTAAGCAAATTCTTTGTGTAATGCAGCATATCTGCAACATGAAGGAGTACATGCCGCATGTTCCATTCGATTCTAATAGAAAACCATCGTGAAATCAGTCACAATAAAGACAAACCGAAGATTGGAAACACGGGCAAGTAGCTCATACACTGTGTAACACTGACGATGCCGAAGTGTTGACTTGAACTGCAGTCAGAAGAGACACGTTAGCAAGTGTGACGGATAGTTGTCGAAAAAGATGGTGCCATGCCTTGATCAACGCCGACTCCACTGCCTTCACTTGGACCAGAAGCACTCCAAGCCTTGAGTATTTCTGCATAATCGATGTGCTAAAAAAGAATACGAAGTGGCGGCTCCGCAGAAAAGGTGAAGTACATGCACCTCATCGTCGCAATATCGATCCTTGTGCCACAGGGAGTACTATCTAGCAGGTCGAAATCAACACAAACGCACAACCGACCACCGATTTGCCGCTGCGAAGATGATAGCAAGCTATTCTCAAAAACGCCTTGGATTGCGCTCTGATGAAATGAGTTCAGAGCTTCACTGTCAGCCCATGCAATAGGGTTCTCTTCCATGTGAGTCACTAGCTTCTCTGAGAATACATTATAGACGTCTTGCTACAATACATACCATCACACTTTAGTAAATCAATCAGCAAAATTTCACACCTTCCACCAGTTTACCTGCTCCATAAGCACAAACATCCGAAGTGCTTCCACGTGATCCATATAGTTCATTTTGTCACGAAAGATGTCAGTGATTTCTCTGTTAAGCTCACGACACTGTATCACAGAATATTAATGGACTAGCATTGGTACAACACCAACACAAATACCAAAACACAGCAAAAAAATGCACCTTTGTCTCGAGGTGGTTTGTGAAACAGCGTTCCAAAAGCTTGCTAAATGGTACATACTCCAGCACTTCTTGACGTAAAGGCCTTAGGGTGTCGCCATTACCAAGTACTAAATTCATCGACCAAATCTCGCCGTTACGTCTGCACCCCATCGTCTCGAGTTCAGCTGTCAGCAATTCGCACAACGACGACCGAGACTGCTCAGGCTTCGTCAAGATTTCTTCTGTTGACCACTGCTGCTGTCGCAAAAAGCAGTTCTTAATTTGTCGGCTTGCTAATGCTCTATTCATCAAGTCAATCTTCGATTCAAGAAAGGTTGGAACGAGCGATTGGTCTACTTCAAACGGAGCTAACAACAATAAATCATCGCGAAAGCTTTGGTATCGTGAGCGTGTTGACAACGTATCAACGTCCAGTGATGCCGACGTGGTGAAAAACAACTCTTCGTCAAGAGGAATTGTCTCAAAATGCCCAATTTCAAACACCATTCGATTGATCAGAACCAAATACGGATTCAGCGCCCCAATAAATAGATTTAACAGCACATCAGACCGTGATAATCCACCCGCAACGCTTATATTTGCATTGGCCCCCACACCTTTGACGTGTTCCACCTCCGTCATTCGATACAGTGAATCCAGTACGCTCTTGGCTTGCTCAGCGCCCCTCACCTCGTGCCATTGTCGATCGGATAATGCTCTAAAGGATTCTATCAATACCCACTTTAACCATGACACCATCTTTAAAATGTCCTTGAGGCCTCCATAAATCCCAAGCAAAGTTGGCTGTCGCATATAAGCTCTTGACCACGGGCCCTCCTGCTCGCTGACTGTGCCAATAGTTTGCTGCTCTACCATGCGTATATTTCCAGTCAACTTTCTCATAATTACCGACAATGAATTGGCTAGGCCTTCCAAGGTCACACATCGGTAGTGGTTATCTGAGCCTCGTGCTTGACGTATAAACTCCAGCAGATTGCGAACTAACTGCAGTTCTGACGCTCCTTGTGCGAATTCACCTATTACATGATCGAATGCCGTGGGGGAAAGATGTCCAACCGCTACATTTAACGATCGTCTTGCAGCTACTTTGGTCTGAAAGTTAACACTGAACATCGGACGTTTCGGTATGACCGGGTGAAATTCAAACAAAAGCGAGTCAGCTCCATTTAACGCCTCAAACACCATCCTCACCACAGTTTTCTCGCAAATTATTCGACGAGAATCAATCTCATCGCATTTTGCCACTGCGTTACACATTAGCCACGGCCGTTCCAATGTAAACGGCACCAGCAGTCTCACGTCCAACGTGCACGCTGAATCATTTACCCTATCCTGCTCATCCTGCAACGTAATTTTCGGACAATAGCGGCACAGAAGTTCATCTTCCATTGTCATTTCTTCCACCTCGTCTTGTTTATGTTTTCTTCTCGTTTCTAGTCGGCATGCAGTCTGCTCTGCACTCTTCTTCTCACACTTACCCAGCACATTGTCCATCCGAAAGTCCATGGACGTAGCCACCACGACTTTCTGTTCTTCTATGCTTTCTTCCTCCATATTTTCACTTGATCTCGTGTGATTAAGTTGACAGGTGGCAGTTTGACATTCATTTTCCACTGTCGTTTCATCATTGCTGTTCATATCCCATTCACTTTCGTCCTCATCACTATCATCCCAGGCTTCAGACCACTCATCTCTAGTAACGATCTGCAACAAATCATCAACAAGTTTCTCCTTGATCACTTTTTCTTCTAGCTCCCTTATTTTCTCTTGCTCTATCCCCGTCTTCCATGTCCTGTATAATTCCTGATCCATCGCTACTTCTGCGTCTGTTGCAGTCGTTGGAGACGTTGCCAACTCCAACAGAAGTTTCAGCACTTGGTACTCGCATTTTGATGCCAATGTCAACAATGTATTACCTCGATCTTCCAATGAATGGAAGCAAAACTTGACTGCAAGAGCTTGCGTTTGTATCTGAACGTCCTGCGGCACAATGTCAACATATTGACACGAATACAGTTGTTCCGCGATACGTTCGACACGTAGTAATAAATCTTCAGTAGAGATCACATGACAGTTTGTGCCAATACGAATTTGATTTCCATTGGTGTTAATATGGGTGTACAGCTTCTTGAGAAGAGGTTGCCATTCTTGTGTCCATGCTGGCACGATTAGTGTCATCTTTCGTATAATGAACGTTTTGGAATGAATGAAAATGATCGGTCGAACCTTTGTTTTTAATGACATATTACAAAAGAGAGAGAGAGAGAGTGCTTCAGAATGGCTATCGACTCTAGAGTCGGGTTTGTATATAGCCTTACCAAAATAAGAATGCTAGCATCAAAGGACACGACGTTGTGTCAAGGCATTTCTCATGGCGGAGTGTCCGTCGACTCTCTCAATCAATTAATGAACATCTTGCTGATGGTCTGTTGTACTATAGTACAAGGTCGACTTAATAGCCTTGTGTTGTGGTGCCTCATGATGAGGGCCTCAAGTATCAGATTCTTTACAAGGCTCATTTCAACGCCGCTTGTTGGTCACTTAGGTCGTAAAAGACCTACAGCTCGGTGAGCACTCATATTGGTGGCCAAATTGGGTTGATCTTGATGTACGTATATAAGAACGTGTGAAACGTGTAAAAGTGTAAAAAAACTCGCCTAGTTTGGCTGCGCATTCGGCGAGTTTGCTTGTACCCTCAAGGTTGCGGCAGTCTATTAGTATGGACGTTGTGTAGCCGACCGCGTTTTGCGACAGGCGCGTATGGATTAACCTTCTTCTCCTCTCTCTGCTCAAGAGCCTGAGCTTATGGAATTGGCGCGATCGAGCACGCCACCTACTCTCAGCGTTTTCCGAGTTACGTACATTGAAGGCCTAGCACCGAAACGGCTGTTTACATCTGATGTCGTGAGTCTGGTCATCACGCTGCTGAATGCCGTGCAACTGCACCATTCCTCACTGTAGCTCCGTCTGACGTCGCCGTTAACGCTGCTGATCGACCATTAAAAAAAAAAAAAAAGACGGCAACCAGTAGGCGTGGCGCTATCTACTAAGTTGAAACGGAGATACATGCCTGCAGTGGCGACAAGTTCTCCCAGCCTCGCTGTGCACTATGCACAGCTGAATGCCACCGCATCCATCAATCCGCGTTTGATCGTGCTTAGTGCTTACGACGATGCGTCACGTCCACTCCGCGTATTTTCTAGACTCAGGCGCGACGAATAACAATTTGTTCGTGCCAAAAGTTTTCCCGTTCTCCTGTCGCGGTTGCGTGTACGCAAGACTTAAGGGGAGATGATCGTCAAGTGTGCGGACGTCAAGCCCCGCACGCACACCGAAAGATTTTGGTGGTGCCGCCTTACCGGTTCTATGCTTTTAAGAAGCAGTGATGAATTCCAAGTTATCAACTTGAGCGGTTCATGTAACTCCATTTTTGGGATGCCGTAGCTTGCACGGCATCGACCCGACATTGAGTGGCTGAACCGCACGCTTCAACAATGTGACATAAATGTCAATGCGGTTCTCGCAGTTCTTGACAGACCGACGAGTACTTGGCAGCATGTTGCTGTCGTGGGCTCCGACTCCGAGAATCATACTAGTGTACGCTCATTGCAAATCGGACTTCAGCAAACCTTTGGTTGCTACAGCTTACTGTCTTGAAACCAAGTCTTGCCCAGATAGCTGGTAGCACAACCGCAAGAATCAGGAATGTTAGACCCTATGGGCTCATCTGCACAGCCTCGTGTTTATCAACTGTATACCTGATCGCGACGCACCAGCTGACCTTCTGTCATACGGATCCGACATGTTGGGAATATGTGCCTTAACGTGATGCGATGCTCCAGCAAAGGTAAACGTACAACATCTCTTCTAGAGCTGGCTATTTGCTTAAGAATAAACTCTGGCGCAGATCACTAGCGACTGGGAAAGCACATGGATACAGTCACGGCAATTGCAACATCAAGAACGCGCAAGGTCGGCTCAAACGAAGCCACCCACCTCATCTTTTGCGGCATGTGAATCACGAACGAGACATGAAACGATGCAGTGGCCTACTGGAATATAATAGATGCTATCATTTAAAACGCCGCATTTTTCCATGCGTACGGTCAGTGCATGGTAATGTAATGGGGCGTGATTACGTGGTGACGACTTCACCTTTGAGTCTTCAAACTTTGCGCTACCCATCGCCTGAAAAATGGCAACACATGCTTTATCGCGTGCAAGCTCACCACGGGTACAATCCGTTACTGGCAGACTCACAACGGTAAGATGAGCAATCTTATAGTCAGGTCTACGCGATAACGCGTCAGACAAAACATTCTTTCTTCCCGGCTAATGATTCAACACGAAGTTAATCTACGCAAAATGGAGTGCCAGCAAGCCAATCTCTGCGAGATATGAGGCGACTGTGCCGCTGTGCGTAACGACGCATGACCTGTATAAATCACAAACGGCTCCGAGCGCAACAATTGTACCGAACTTGGTGCGTTAGAAAGCCCTTGGGGCATCACTAATCAATCCCAGAACATACCGCTCGGAGTACTGACCGCTGTCAGCAGGATATCACTAGATCGCATAAGCAGTTGGTAATATCCATCAACCAAGTCGAGGGCACTGTACATTGCGCATCCCACCATATTGTTCTGAATAACATCCTTGCGAGGAATCGGTGTTTGAGCCGGGATAGTGGCTGCATTCAGCTTATTGTAAGCATGCACTATTCGCCACTTCCCATTAGGCTTTCTCACACAAAACGTGGGCGTAGAGTGAGGAGACTTACTCTCACGCACCATGCCAGCCGCGTGCTTTCGCACGAAAGAACTCGTCAATGACGTTACATTTTTCTCGTGGCAGCGGCCACTGTCGCGTCACACAGTATTTGGTTCCTGGAACCAAGTCAATCTCATGACGTACACCTCTATCCGGAGGTAACATTCGTCGGAGGTTCTCTGGAGACAACATCTCCATATTCCTTCAACAAAGGAAAATAAGGATCCGAAGGGTCCTTCAGGATCTGTGATCCACTACGCGCATTCAGCGCCTTCTTGGTATCTTCAAGAACTGCTTTATCCAAAAGCGATGAGGAGTATAACTCCTCCTCAGGTCGTATAAAGACCACTTCGGCGATGTCGCCTGCCTGTAAGGCAATGCCAAACTCGGCAAAGGACAACTCGTTCAGCTCTAACAGAGCACTTACTGCGGGTATTGCTGAAAGAGCCACCGGCTCTTCAACATCCCCAGTCAAACCATTGACGAGTGTATATAGCTGTTCGCTATCACCTTCACTCACGATTTTATCATCGCTACTCTTGATGCTCTCAGCATTTATAGCAACACCGCCCATAGGTGTACACACCTCAAGGTCAAAGACCACTTGGTTTACTAACTGCACCCCACCCTCTTGGGTCAATGTCTTGTCATGAGTTACTTGTATCTCGTTGTCCTCAAAGACAACCGTCATTTTTGACTTCAATCCGTCCCTCATGGGCCAGAACCTCGTCACTAAGTGCTTGCAGCTCGTTGTATTTAAAGACATTTGTGACTTCACCCGACCCTCTTTAGCCAGTGCCTCGTTTCGAGGTGCTTGCACCTCGTTATCCTTAAAGACAATATCCATTTGGGCCCTTCGGCTTTCCAGGTTCAGTTCCTCGTCACTCATGTCACTTGGACTCATGTCCTAACATCTTGGCTTGCGGCCACCAACACCACTCATGGTGGTTAATGATGTAACATCATTCTCATGACACATGTCATATGTGTCATCTAGTGGGCTCTCAACCACACTATAGACAGTCCTTGAGTCTCGCTTAGGACTATTGTCCTCGACACTTACAGTGTCTGCAAAGTCGTATATTCCGACATCCAACATATTGACCGCCTCGGTCCAATATCTGCACCAAAAGCCCTTTTGCTTCCTAGCAGTGGTGGGTTCATGACCTCCAGATCCCCACCAGGAGCATTGCGCTTTAAACTTATGCATAAAAGGTGGTGTCACCGATGTGGTGTAGGGTTCATATTGATCTAGGTGATGTCAACGTGATACTTGCATTGCTTTTCTTTTCTTAGCTTCATGTTTGATCATACGTTCGAATTGCTTCTTATGTATCAGGCCGCACGCAATCCCGCTTCATATCCAGTAAGATTCTTCAAGCGACTTGTGGGAGTGGTCAAAACCGCTACTCCAAACATGTAAAATTAAGATCTGGTCAGGCTGATACTAATTTGAGCACCATTCATACCAATCAAAAAGCATCGAGATGAGTCTGGTTGCAAAAACGATTACTACTATTCCTAGGCGATGCACAGGATAACATAGAAATACGCAGCATTCATGACGTGATGCATTTCATTTGAAGGCGTTGTTGTAGCCGAGCTACCGTCGCCAAGCTACTATATGCACTAAGTTTAGAGGATGACAAGCTGGAAGAGCTTTACGTGTTAGGGTTATTAACCCTCACAAAGCAAGCTTTACAAGCTTAAGCCTTTGTTGTTGTACAACCAACGTCTCTATGAGCCCAATATCACAGATACGAATTCTTTTTAAGGAATGTGCTTTAGCAACTAATGTTAATGGAGTAGTTTTTAAAGTGAACTATTTGTTTTCTTCTACTAGCACTAATATCGAAACAGTACTCTATGCTTAGTGCTAGTCACTATATTTGACTGGCTTTGTAGCCTTTCTACTATATACACATATGTATCCACTGTCCTTAGCCAAACCCATTGTACCTTAGGTACGATGCACATTACAGCCAATGTACTTAAAGTACAGACACACTAAAATGGTGTGGCAGGTGTGTATGTCCTTCCTGTAGCCTCATTGCAGTTATAGTGTCAGTTTTTCTATTATAGTCCAAAACGTCAAATTAATTGGATCCATGGATCAAAATTTAGTCGCTATGTTTCTATGTAATAAAATCCTATTTTTGAGGTCAAATGCACCGTCAAGTGCTGGCCAAGACCCTACGAGAGGCTTCGCCGTTCTTCCTTATCGCTGGCCCATGTGTCTTAGAGTCTGAGTCGGTTGTACTGGCTATTGCTTATCGGTATTGATATGTAAAGTTCATGATATTATGACACCTTGAACGCCTATCAATTGTTTTGTTACAGCTTGGCAGAATTTCAGCGACGCCTACAGCTCCCTGTTATCTTCAAAGCAAGCTTTGACAAGGCCAATCGACAGTGCTTGAATAGCTACAGAGGTCCTGGAATGCAACGTGGACTTAAAATGCTGCAACATGTAAAGGAAGTGACTGGACTGCCAGTACTTACGGACGTCCACGAGACGCACCAAGTGGCTACCGTGGCAACGGTGGCAGATATCATTCAGATCCCTGCGTTTCTTAGTCGCCAAACTGATCTACTGGTAGCTGCTGCAAACTCTGGGAGGCTTGTGAACCTGAAGAAAGGACAAATGCTTTCTGCTGAGACCATGGTGCGTAAATTCTTGAAACCAAACTTATCTGGATTACTAACAGCAACCTTTAAATTGTTGTATCTAGATGTTAGCTGCTAAGAAAATTGAAGCCACTCAGGATGATACTGGTGCGTTGGTGTATATTCGTGTGTGGCACACTTTGGCGTGTTCTAAGATGATGTTTGCTGCTGTGTATCATAAGACTTTATTTTAACAGAACGTGGAAGTATGTTTGGCTACGGAGACTTGGTAGTTGATGCAAGAAATCTCTTAAAACTTCGTAGATCCAATGGTCTTGTTGTTCAAGACGTTACTCATAGGTTTTGCGTGGTGTTTCAATCAGCTGCATGAAACCTCTTACTAACATGATTTGTGGCATTCCGCAGCATTCAACGACCAAGCGGTGTAAATGCTATGGCCACTACGAGTGGAGGAGACCGTGAGTTTATCCCTACCATAGCGAGAATGGCCGCAGCAGTCGGTGTTGATGGGTTTTTCTTCGAGACACATTTTGATCCAAAAACGGCTTTGTGCGACGCGGCGACAATGCTGCCAATTGACGAGCTCGAGCCCCTTCTGGAAGAACTCATTGCAATCTCTAGAGCATCCAAAGGCATGTCTAAAGCGAAGTGTCAATAAACGAGTGTCGCCAGTGCTACTGGCCGCACGGGCTTTCTTTGACAATGCACAACTGATGATCTATCTCCGAATCTCTCTCATCGTTCTGCGATCATTACGTTCGTTGAGGCGAACTAAGTGACTCTGCTTCGTCTTTGTATTCACACGCATTGGAACAAAAAGCGTTTGTAATTCGGATCGAGCAAGTCGGGAATGCACCTGCAAACGCAGTATGTAGTGATTTATTCCATACCGTGACATATTCCGACGTATTGCTTTATTAAAGTTTATGTTGAACTGTCGATAATAATTCTAGCGTGTGCAGTGGCCAGCCTTTGTTGACGCTTCTGTGAGCACGTCCTTGGCCTTCAGTGGTTCAAAAAGGTCGTGCTAGAGAAATGAACGCGGTCATCTTTAAAAATGACAAAGAAAGCCACGTACACCGATGACATTATCAACGCGATGCTGGACTACAATTTACTCTTATATTTGTAATTCAATCAGTGGATCAATTGGTTAAGTGGCGCGCACTGCCATGCACCTTACTCAGCAAATTGAAGCACAAGTCTATAAAATCCGTTGTGAGCATTTCATGCATGGCTTCCTTCTGCGGGTGACATTACTGCGGTGGATATCGGTAGCGCTAATCCCGCGTCGATCGAATCTCCATTTCAAACGAAGGCATGAGAATTGTCTAGCCACAGGGTCAACAAAATGCAAAACGCGTCACGATCAGCCTCAAACCAGGCACTACATCGATCAAAGAGCCGCACGTGTTTTCAGGTCAGGTCATTGCAATTCGCCTTGTCGTAAAGCTCCTTGAAGCGATCGATATGAATACACATGTGGTCGCACCATACTCTTTTCTTATTTTCACGCTGGGACTCTTGCTCGCTCAAACGAAGGAATCCTCTGTAGTGGACCTCAACACACCGACGTGCGATAAAGTTCTTCATGATTATTGTTCTTGAATATTGCTGTCTTAGTCACCCAAGTCGTGCTCAAGAAAACGTGAGATTCCCTGCGCAATGTCTCGACGACACGGACCGAGCAGAAACGGAAAGCCTTGAGCTACATCTTGAATAAATCGTTTGTCATAGGGAATGACAATGAGATGGAACAAGATTTTGTGAAATCCACTTGCAATGTACCAAGCGTTTAGTTTGCTAGGACATCCTAATTTTTGCACCCTTCACTCAAAATGACAAGAAACTCAAAGGGTAATTCCATTTCTTAGTAACGATGCTGACATCTATGCAGAAGCATGGACCGTCTCCCACTGAAGAAAGTTTGCTGCAGCTTTTCGTGTTAGTTGTTCTTTTTCATCATGATAGTCTGGATGTGTAAGAATACATAGATCAAGTTCATTTGATATAAAAGTTGGATCTTGCAAAGTTCATGACCAAGCTCATTTAGTGTGCGCCAACTGGCTGATACCATTTCATGCAATATACGAATGCATTAAAATAAATTAGTCGTAGAAAGGCTACTGCTATCTTAGACTATGAAAAGGTGCCAAAACCATACGCAGCATTCACATCAGGGCGCAATTTTTTGGACTAGGGACCGATTTCAACCATATCGTGTGATGGTTTGTTGGCAGATTTCACACAGATGCTCCACCGGCAACTCCACTAATAAGAGCTTCGTCACGTTAAATATTTCAATGATCAAATTCTTTAACTTCAAGCAAATGTGACCCTTTTTATAGGTCTTTTCGACAATAAATCCACTTCTGTTTTGGGTACACTGGCAACTCCGCTCGCAAAAGTTTCTTCAGGCATTAAAGATGCCTTACTCGCTTTAACCTTAGCCACATCATCAGCGTTACCTTTATACGGCAATACTATGACATTAGATGGCTTTGGGGTACCACCAGTCTTGCCAGGACTATTCATCAATAGTAGAGGTTGCACTTTAAATGAACCGCCGTGTTTGCCCTTAGGAGGAATGGCATTGGGCGACATTGGTGCTACATCGGTTTTGGGTGACGATGGTACAGTAATCTTGGCCTTGCGTTTCAACAATTCTGTGAGGATTTTGGCCAACCTTTGACGTGCTGCACGAATTTTGACTCCAGCATCCACTCCAGCGTTTTTGGCAGTGGTCAACATGCTGCTTACTTTCTGCACAAGATAGCTTTTGGCAATACTTTGCACATCTCGCTCTTCGTCAGATGATTCCGTGGCATCGTTGATATTGTCGTCAGCTTGACGCAACGATCGATTGTCATGTGCGTTACCCTTGACAGATAGCGAGCGAGACGGCGACACAAAGGCGGATTTAGAAAGTGTGACAGCTTTGGGGTCTTCCATGGACGATGCGTTGACTTGCAGTGCGACCAATGTCACAAGATAAACCCACATCGCGAGACGCATGATAGATTGGCACGGCTGGACAGCAGATTAGCGAGGAAGACTTGCGTACAACGTAAAAGAGAGCGGAACGCAGTTGAAAAGAGGTATATTCAGTTGGAATGAAGTGGAGAAAGAGCTTGTGTTGGAACTGGTAAAAGTAATAATGAGGCCATGCTTCAGAAAAGGTCTCGGAGCTTCTTCATCTAAGTGTCGTACATTCGTAGTAGATATACAGCTGTACGGGCGTCTATCTACTTTATCCTCAGAATTGGCAAATGCTACATAAGAGCAAGAGCAAACGGATCCTTTATGTGTGATTGACTCGGTTTAAAAATTTGGCAACCTCAAGAAAAGAATCAGTGGGCAAGGAATTGAACATGTCCATGTAGGAGAATTCCCAAGGTGTGTAATATGAAATCTCTCTAGCAAAGACTGATCCTTTGTATACGTGATTTGCACAGCGAAGTATCTGTTTTATAGAATTTGGCCAGACCCATATGTTTCCTAGGACTGGAGACAGCGATGAGCAGTTATCAGTGGCATTGCCCTATTGCGAGCTGGTTTGCTACTCATGACATAGATTAATGGTAAAAGGATCTAAACTAACCATAACAGCAGTCATACACTATGCTTGAGTTTTGTAATAAGCCACAGCAACTTCAAAACACACTGACAACTGTTCGAATGGATCGTATAAATGTCGCGCCTTGTACCAAAACAAATCCTAAAGATGTCGCATGTCTTTGTGCGCGTACAAACGGAGAATTCTAAAGTGACACCGAAAGCGTTTGAGGCAGGGCTTTAGAAGCAAACACACTACGAAAACTACCTTTCCGCGCTTTGCTAAGCTGCTTGAATGGCAGAAGATGCTGTCGCTGCCCAAACCATCAGATTTTGTAAGAAGATTATAGACGGAAGGATTCTGCGAGTAGCTTTCACTTCAATCGAATCGTCTCAACGTGACCAGTGATCTGTTCAAGGATCAGTTGCAACAACTCATCGCTCGTTCTATTATTCGAATAAAATGTATCTCCTACCTGGACAAGAATATTTAAAGCGTTTCCTATTGAAGGGCTTCAACGAGCTGTAGATAAAACACGACGGTGATAATCTATGTCCGATTCCAGCTGCTGAAGCACATCAATAAATTAGGCGCTTGAAATATTTGTAGGGTAACAAGGTGAACAAGAAGACGAAATTATGAGACACACTGCAGCAGATGCAGACAAAATCAGGTCTGATGGTATAGAGTGTTCATTGCAAGGTTTCTAAATTTAGAGGCAATAACAAAAGTTGTAGGTTTGTCTGCGAATTTGATTATACAGGTTTTTCCCAGGAATACGTCTTCAGTTGGATGGACCTCCTCGCCCCCCGCCATTCACATGCTAAACTTCGAGAATAGGCGATCATCGTCTTACTTTCGTCGCCGTCCCTTGACATCGGAAATCCGGTGGGGTGCCCAGCCTCGCTACGGCTACGGCGCCAGCCCCCTTTCACACAAGCCATCGCATAGGTGCAGTTCGGGTCAGGCTTCACTCTCGGCCGATTCTTCTCACCCTCAGAGTTGGGAGCCCACTCCATGCCACAATGGAATTACTTGGGTTTTCGACGGGGAACCGCCGCCGGTCCAGGGGGAAACGCAGGAGCTCACCCAACTCGCGGAGCGCAAGCTCATACGTAATGGGGTCGTCATTTTTTTCAATCCACAGGTCCCCTATTATTCATGGTCCGCTCCACCCATGGTTCCCAATCGCCGCGTCTTCTCTTTTTTTGGAACGAAGCGGTGTCTTGCAACACCGCTGAAGCAGATCATTGATAGACTGGGCACCAAGAGCCAGCAAATGCGGTGGCAACGAGCAGCTCTCGATGTCTCGCCGGCTCATATATGGGGTCACGGACACGCGGTGACGGAATATCAGCTATGGATACGGTACCGCCACGCTGCCGGTCAGCTAAACTTTTGGTATCAGGACCGGCCTCCGGACGGGACTTGCAAGTATCGAGAATGTGTCGGACAGAAGAAGACTCAGGAGCATCTTTTTTGGGGATGTCCTCGTGCTCAAGCACTTTGGGCCCGGCTCATCAGTCATTGGGGGAGCACACCTCGTCAGCCTTACTACCTCCTTGACTGGCTCAAGCACTGCGCAAACCATAGCGTACCCCGCCTTTCACCGCGGGTCACAGCAATGTTGCTAGCCCGTTGCCAGACGACATGGATCAATTCGCCGCGGCCTCGAGGACGATATGGGAGGTCGCAGGGACCGTCATCGTTACAATGCTCTGGCAACACCGCGTGGACCGCGTTCTCGCCATGCGGATATCCCGATGCAAGCCCGTGAAGCCTTGATTTGGGGCAGGATTCAGCTCCAATTACGAGCGCTCATTAAACGCCTCCATTCAGGGCTGACACGGCCGTGCGAGGTGCCCAACTTTCTGCAAGTTTCGACAAATTTATATCAGAACCGAGAGGGCAGCCCGGCCTTCATAGCCAGGCTACCAGCCATGGGCAATGCCTGGACCCTTCAGCGTTGCTAGTGTGGTTAACTACCTATCAGAGTATCTTGCACTAACCATTAAATCGACAATCTGTTCTCTCTCTGGTTTGCATTTTTGTTGCAGCTGGCCTATTATTATAATTGAGTGGACGTTGAGAAACAGGTTATTAGATTATACAGCATTTATTACTTAGGCCACACAACATTGGTTTGAAGGGCAATTGAGTAATTAGTATTCACCAATTGACTTTTTTTTTTTTTTTTTTTTTTGAGGGCACACAAAAAAAAGCGGCCCCCCTTTTCAAATATGTGCACACACGAAAAAAAAAAAAAAAAAACCCCCTTCCCACCAATTTTCCAATTTTTTGCATTCAAGTTCAAACCAACTCTCGCCTGCCCCTCCTCTCAGGCAATATCCTTCGTCGGGGGCTGCAGTGGCTGTAGTTATGTCTCGGGCATGCCTCTCGCGCGGTTACCGGTCAAGCAAGTGGCACAGCAGGAAACTTCCTCACTGGCGGCATCCTCGCGCCATGCATCACGCTCCGGCGGCTCGCAAGTCAGGTTAACAGTCCGCGCAAGAGGTGGTCTACGGGTCCGTCCTCACCTCTAGACACGCGCCGTCGCTCACGCGACAGCGTACTTTGGCTCACCGGACCGCTCGAGCGGCTTCTATGGCATCACAATGGGTACGTTGATGTAGCACATCGACGGACACACCTAAGAAACATCTGTTGAAGCAACCAAACTCTGGAGCCTCCTCAGCCTTGGTGTTTCTCGCTGACTTAGAAGCTTCCAGCTTGTCATCGTTATTGTTATAGTAGACAGTCTGTTCATCTCTATATCTATCTTTCAGGTTGCTGGCCTGTTAAGGTGGAAAATAAAAGCAATCTTGTACGCACGGGAGGAAGCATAGAGTTGTCCATAGTCTTTCGCAGCAGGCATCATGTAACGGGGTTACACGAGGGTGTGTATTTTACATACACACCTGCCACACCAATATGGTGTGGCTGTACCTTGGGTACAAAGTAGGTAATGTGACCGTACTTGAAGTACGAAATGTGACCGTACCTGAAGTACGGTCGGTCACATCGTGGCAGAGAGCCACGTGGTCACTATACTTATTTAAACTATAATGACTATGCATTTTTGCATAGTAATAACAGGCTAAAGAGCCAGTAATAGTGACAAGCACTAAGTATAGGATAGGTGCTTCAATATTTAGTGTTTGAAGATAAACATAAATATAAATCAGTTTCAAACCTGCTCTATAAGCATCACTGCTTTAGCGTACTATTCCTCCTGAGGAATCGTATCTCATTGATACTAGTCTCTTTGAGACGCGGTTACAATAACCGATAGACACAAGCTTACGAGCTAGACTAGGAGGGTTAAGCACCCTAAGACGTAGAAGCTCTCTGAGCTTGTCTTCCTCTGCACATAGTGTATACGTAGTGTAGCTACAGTAGCTCGGCTACACCTGGTAGCATTTGTAGTCAATCCAGCACCTGGGTTTGCGACTACTTCTCTGTGTGAGAATGGACATCAATGAGATGTCAGCGGTTGGCCTGTCACAGGCACAACAGGAAGGGTTGTAGAAGCTGCTCCCTATCCTTGGCTTTAAGGGCGTAGAGTACCTCATCGCCCTGGGGGAGGAAGAGGTTAACAAGCGTATTCATATGCTTGATGAGTATAATAAATCTTTAGTCGAGCATGTAAAGGCACAGATGCCTTCTTCTGCGCCTTCGACCATGGCGACTATGGCGCAAGAAGTGGTCCGCAGACCAAAACCTATACAAATGGAAGTCGATACGCTTGACGGCAAAGAAAGTGAGAGCCTTATGCTTTGGTTCCGACAGGTTGAGTCGGCTATGTTTATAGCCGACATCACCTATGAACCGTACCGTGTGGGCTTTGCCACGTACAAGTTAGGTGGATTAGCCAAACAGTGGGCATTCACATTTGGTGCATCATTGAAAGATGCTTTTCGCACATGGGCCAATCTGAAAATTCAGATGACCCGGCAGTATGCACCGCCAAACCAAGCACACCGTAATCGGTCGCGGCTTTTGGCGTGTCGCCAATGCAAGCGTGATCTTGCGGCATATGTACAAGAGTTGAGAATTCTCATCGCTGCCATAGTCATAGTCCCTATGCCAGAGGCAGAGACCGTCACGGTCTTCATGGAGGGCCTCCGAGTTGGCGTTGCCAGAGCGGAAGTTTTCCGGGTAAAAACGTTATTATTCGAGGAAGCTGTTGGAGTGACATGGAATGCCGAGGCCAACTTTAAGGCCACTATGCCTGCCACTTATAACTACTCGTCTTATGGGTCTGGACCCATGAACTCTAGCCAAGTGGAGGATATAGAAGCTGAGCTTCATGCTGCGGAGCAGCAAATTATGCGCTGATGTTATATCTGCAAGAGCACAGACCATTTGATGACAAAATGCCTTGCAAGAAAGGCATATTTGCCTCGAAGGGCCGACGCCCCATGGTTAAACCTTCTGGTTTGCCGCGGGGAAACGGCGT